AAAAATACAAGAACACAAAAGGGCACAGAACGAGAGTTTAAAATAAAATGAAATTGAGTAGGTACGTTCACATTCATTAGTTACTAATGATTAGTATAATCGTAAATCGGTTATTTGTAGATTAGATAAATATTTATCTTTATGTCAAATTGCATGATTCAAAGTAGTGGCGTATCCAGAATTTTTTTTTTTTTTTGGGAGGGGGAGAGATTAGAAAAAATGTAACATTACATTTTTTTGAATTGTGTATGTTTTTATTATAATCAATAGACAATAATCATACATTTAACATTGTATTACCTACTATTTTACAACGCTGATTATTAAAGTTAAAATATGTAAATATTTATCTATTTTTAAAAAAAACTATAAATGTATATTCAATTTTCGTTTTGATTTTTTAGCAAGTTTATCCATAACATCATTAATATCCACTTTAATATCGCAATAGAGAATGTAAAAATACAATGGGGATAAGTTTGTTAAGATATCGATATCGCAATCGTAAAAACCGCTAATCGGTTTTATTATTATATTATTATTATTATTATTAGTATTATTATTTATATTCTGTATCATACCATTAGTGTAATTCAGAAGCGATGTAATGTTAATAATTACTATAAAAAAAATAATTTTATATAGATAGTATCATTGATTATAAATAGTATTTATTATCAATGGTAGTATATACTATATTAGCGATTCCCAAACTGTGCACCGCGGTACCCTAGGGCACCACGACCATTTTCTAAGGGCACCGCGGTCTACGTACGGTTCAAAACAAATAGTTTAAAATGTATAAAATTATTTTTCCTTATGGTTTTCGTAAAAACTTTATAGCAAATAATATAATATTTTCTATTGTATATTCGAATATTCTCATTTTAACCTTATAATATTTTATATAATAATTATAATCATAATAACAATAATTTTTATTTATTTATTTTTTAAGTTTAAAAATGCATTCATTTATAATTAAGTTCAATTTTAATAAAATTAATAAAATTGGTTATCAATAAGTTATTTTTTGTTCTGTAATGTAGTTCTCAGCAGGGCACCGTGGCTAAATTGGGTCCAAAAAAAGGCACCACTGAAAAAAGTTTGGGAACCGCTGTACTATACGATATCTTGAAAGTAATGGGGACCGCTGGGCGCTGTGTCAATCGATTAATTAAACATTGAAACATTTTCCGGGAGGGGGATAACCTCTAACTCCCTCCTGGATATGTACCTATTATACACCATAGAGTAATATACTCTTAGTTATACTCTTTTAAATAGTTTATGCAGGCCCGTATTTATGGGGAGCGCGGGGGTAGGCACATTCCCGGGAGCGTCAAGTCTCAGGGGCGGCAAAATATTTTAGCAAAATTAATTTTAAAAATTATGTACCTAAAGAAAAAAAATATTAAACATTTTTATTTATAAGTTATATTTTAATATTAAAAATCTCGATTATTGACGAAATAATAATTGTTATATTATAATTATTATTATTTTTTTTTTTTTTTTGGGGGGCGCATAAATTATATGCCCGGAGGCGCCAAATTTTTAAATACTGGCCTGAGTCTATGTAATATACAGACAAGTATCTGTGTAAAAACGTTAACCGGTGTAGTGTATACAACCGTGTAATAATATGTAACGTGGTACAACACTAATTATTTTAGACATAAATTATTATTACATATATTAAATGTAATATTCCATAAAATGAATCATTATATATCAGGGGTGACCAGCGAGAAAAGACTTGCGAGCCACCAAATATATTAATAAATATGGAAGAGCCAAAATGTAAAAAAAAAAAAAAAGGTCATATTATTATATAATTTATATATATGATATTGTATTATTGTAAATAAGATAAGTTAAGGTATGGTATTTAATAAAATGTGAAGAATAAGATAACAATATCAAATTAAATTTTATCTTCATTAATACCATAAATATCAAAATATCATACAGACATAGACACACATGGATAATGGATATTATGTCTTCATAGTGTTTTTTGACGTCATGCGTGTAACAACACAACATTAATAAAATAATTATTATGTCTAAGAAACGCAAGTATGAAGAACACAGAGAATTCAAATTACAATGGGAAGAAGAGTTCTTTTTCATAGAACGAAACTAATTAAAACTAACTAATTTAACTAACTAAAAAAAATTGTTCTTAAAATTGTGAATTACATACGTTCAGGTTCAAAAATACATCGCCAATTTAAAAACTTTGTTTAAAGTTTAGAGGATGATATTCCAAATGATGTTCCGTGGTATTGTTTAGTTCGATGGTTATCGGTAAATAACGTTTTAATAAAATTTTTCTATTTATTAGAACCCATTAAAACATTTTTAAAAGAAAAAGATAAAAATTTTCCACAACTTTCAGACCCACAATGGTTAAGAGATATGTCATTTTGTACTGACGTTGTGCATCACTTAGCTACATCAAATATGTCTCTTCAAGGTAAAAATAAATTTATAAATAACCTAGTACAAGACATTTTTAGTTTCCAAAATAAGCTTAAACTTTTTCAAAGAGACTTAAGAACAAATAATTTAAACCATTTTCCGTATTTAAAAAAAATTGAGGATTATTTGGTTGGAATAGCAACAAAATTGAATTGTGAAGATTATGTACAAAAATTAGAGTGTTTATCAACTCACTTTGAAGATCGATTTAAAGACTTGAAATTACTTAAACCTTCGATTGCATTTCTAGAAAATCCCTTTGTAATTAACGTTACTGAAAATGGATGTCCAATATTAAAATCAATTTCAATGGATACGGCAGCTTTAGAAATTGAACTCTTGGAATTATTGGAAGATGAAGGACTGAAGCAGTTCAAATAGTTGTCATTCTTTGTTGGAATTTTGGAAACATGTGCCTGTTATTAAATATCCAAAAATTACTCTTTGCGCTCAAAAGTTAATATCGATTTTTGGAACATATTCTTGCGAGTCTTTATACTCAACCACGAAAATGATTAAATCTAAACATCGATCAACATTAACGGATGATCATTTAACTGAATTGTTAAGGACTGCGTTAACAACATCTAGTCCTGATTTTTAAAAAGCTTACAAGCAAAATAAACACGCAACAAATAAGAAAATAGTCAATTATGAAAAATGATATCAAGAATACTTTATTTTTACAAATTTTTTTCTTTATACTGTAATTTAATAATTTAATTTAATTTAATAAAATATTATACTTTTTCAAATACATAAATTCATATTAAAAAAATTTTTTTTTTAAATGTTACGATAAGATGCGAGCCGCAAAAGTCTATGACGCGAGCCGCATGCGGCTCGCGAGCTCCGGTTTGGCCACCCCTGTTATATATGGTTAACTTATGTATGGTGGGTTGAACCCCTAACTTCCCCCCCACCGGTCAGTACGTCACTGATGAGTATAGTAAATATTAAAATATTTAATTAATTTAAAACTAATTAAGACAAACGGTGTCATATCAACAAAAACAATGAATTATTTATTTGACCTTCGGCATTAAATACAAAAAATTATGTGAGTTTTAAAACTTGAAAGTCCACCGATTACGTTAAATTAAATATATTACCGATCACTAAATTTTCTCTAGTTATTAAATGTAATTTTAGATACAAAATCTATAAATATTGTGATATGTTATTATATTTTATAATTGGGCAAAATGTTCCAAGTATTCATGCAAAAAAAATAAATAAACATTCAATTTTACATACTTACATTTTTACCTAGATAAATGCAATGTAGCAGTATGGTTTACATACTGTATTACTATACAATAATCAGGTAAAGAAATTAAACTTATTAATTCGGCATAAGAAAATAGCATGACAATAAAATAAATATGACAGTCATCATCATTAAAATTTGTTTATTTATGAATATTATTTTACAATAATTTATATATATATATCTTGTGAAAATGGCCAGAAAAATAAATATCAAGAACTATTCCTCTCATCAAAACACATTTAAAATCAAATAAATTAATAAAATTATTAATTGACAGTAATGGAAAACAGTAACGCTGAACATTTTACCTAGTCCAAGTTGAAGTATAATATAGAATCCTTCAAATGTAAGTTAATATTTATAATCATTTGATAACTACATTTTCTCCTTCCACTTCATATTTGAGTAATTTCTATTCAATTATACTAACAAATTAAATAATTGATTCATGATACTAACATACAGGCACGGATCCAGAGGGGGGTGCTAGGGTGCTATAGCAACCCCTTGGCATATTGCTAGCAGGTTATTTTACACTATGCGTATTTTTCAGTGAGTCAGATACGTTATACTAAACTGGTAACAAAAAAAAAACAATTATTTTTTTTTTTTATAAGTAATTTTTTCCTCAATACTGATGAGTGATAACCAGAAGTTCTGTCACGCTGTTTAAGAGGACGCCACAACGGTCATTTTCAGCGGTAAAAACACGTCCATGAAAAACAAACAAAACTCCATCAAAAAGTGGTTTTAAAGTAAAATTACTTATTATGAAATTTATAGAGAACAATATTTTGGAGGGAACCTCATCGGTCTTTTTCGAAATATTAACTATTAAAAGACACCTAATGTACAGCATAGTCAGGGGTTATGTTTTGCAATATATTGTATTTGTAAATCAACATTCATATTGAATAATCACTGAACAAAAATTATTTGAAATTAATAAATGTATTAAATTGCCTATAGTGAAAGACAAATTTATCAACAAATAAAGCATAGGAATGATGAATCAATCTTATTTTACAAATATGTTAACTTGTTACACAAAATTTATATTTATTTAGGATTTAAAAGAAAGCATAAACAATAATCATTAGATTGTAAAAAAAAATTAAAATCAATCAATTATATTAAATTTAAAATATTAGTATGTACAAAAACAGTCACTTTATAAACAATAAAAATAATGTACTACATTGTATAAACATGTTAATTGTTTAACATTTTTTTTGAAAACAATTCTCAGATTTTATTTTGCATATATATATATATATACCTATACATAAATATTTTTGTATTTAACATTATTACAACTAAAAGAAAATACAGGAGGGGGATAAAATTGTGGCAAATTTTGTCAATTCAGCACAGTTTAATAATTTATAGTCAAGTCTACCCCATTAAGTAAAGATACCTTATATCAATCACTATCTGATGCAACTGTATTTATTTTTCTTCGTTTTTTTGTTTGTCTTGGTTTAATTACTTCTTCTTCCTAAAAGAATACATACATTTATATAAAACATTTCACTCTATAAACATTTGCTGTACTTACTTCACTAGACTCTTCTGAGCTGTCCGACAGTTCTTTTATCACAGACTTAAGCATTACGGTAGTTCTTTTGTTACTGTTACCAAATGTAGGGGCTGCCTTACGTCCACGGCCTTTACCACCAGTTGAATTTTTATTGGTAGTTGGTGTGTGCGGTTCATCATCTTCAAGCAATTGGAAAAGATTGCTAAATAACATGCGTTGTGTATCTGTACATGCAGCCTGGGCAATTTGTAAGGCTTTTTGCATGCCTTCAGCACGAAACAGTACAGGACATGTACCCCGACTACGAATGCGTTCCATGTGACCAAGGATCCTCTCAGCACTGGGTGGTGCTACCCCTCCTCTAGAACCTAAACCCTGTCCTAAAATAGAACAAGTTTTAATCAAATTTAAGTACCAAAATCTTTTTATATGATAAATTTTGCATGAAAAAGTCAAGAACCTTGTCCACGTTTCCGTTTGGTTGGAGACACAACCGGACATCTACTAATTAATAGCTGAGAAACTAGATTTGCTACATTTTCACCATGTTCCAAGTACCAACTAGATATCACAGATATAACAAATTGGTCATTCAAAGGTTTTATTTCTCTACACAACACAGGTTTCAATAAATCTAAAGTAGGCCTAAAAATATTGAAATGTAGCTATTAATATATAATTTGTTAATAAATAATAATTCATGAGAATATACTTTTCTTTTTTCAGCATGAGCAAAATATTAGTCAGGGTTTCTGGATGATTATTATAGTCTAATTTTGTAATATTTGATAATATCACTTTAATATCTATGTCATGCGCAGATACCAATTGCCAAAAAAAATATTGCTCCATTGTTTCCCAATTCAATGAACTAGTAGCCAATGATGGTACTGCATCAGATCGAAACATGCATAACTTACCTATTAACAAATATTAATAACAATCAATGATTATTATTTTCAAGTTAATCTATAATTGTATAAAATAATTGGAAATAACCTTGTAAAATTAAACAAATAATTTCTTGTATTTGTGAGCCATCAACTGTGGATACAACTAAGTGTAAAAAGTCTTCATTCCCAACAACATTTTTAGGAAACTGATTATAAACAGCAGGAATAAGCCAACAAAATAAAGATTGATCATCTTCTTGGCATAACTGAAGATCGCTTAATAAACAATCACCTATTTCAACTTCTTGAGTATCACAAAATTCTTTGTAAATGAGAAACTTGATACCACTTAATAAAAAACATTCATATTATAATAATTATCATTATAAATATTTGTTTATATTAACTTACTTATTCATCTTTCTATTGGCATTGTTGTTTAATACACTGCTCACTTGCAAATAATAAAATAATAAATAGCCAATCCGAGTTTGATGAGTCCTCATTTCAGCCAGCAGTGACAAAAGTTGTAACCGCCGTGAATCATCTTCAGGAAATTGGGAAATACTACGAAACATGACAAATAATGGTTTTCCAATACTGTCTTCTAGTGCACTATAAAATATTTAGTACATATTACTTTATGAACATTTTGACTTAACTGAATACTTATTATTAGAAACTCTACAGTTATAAGTATTTAAAGATGTATATAAAAATTTTACTATCAAAAATATGATATTCAAAAAAGAAACTAATATGACAAACAAAAGTATTGTTAGATAAATTCCTAAAAAAAAAAACTGCGATAATTACAAAATATAGATCAATTCTTTAATATCAGAAATTTTTATGATTAATGTATTAAACAATTAATAACTAATGGTATTAATATGTTATTTAAAATATACATTAGCAATGAATTTTGTTCTTACTTATTTATATATATAAATACTATTGTATTTTTTCATAATTATTTTTATAAAATATTAGTTCTTCAAAAGAATAATTGTTTTAAAGTTAAAAACTAACTAAATTTGAAAAAGTTTTAGATTCAAATGACATATCATTATTAAAAAAAAAAAATACTACATATTAAAAATGTAATATTGTGATATTTGTTTATATTAATGACTCATATGTAATAAATTAAAAAAATGAAATGTAAAGTTATAAAACATAACATAATATTAACTGTTTATTGAACAATGTTAAATAATTATTGATGATCTAACTATAGGATCTTGGTTAAGAGCAATGAAACACATATGATTTAAGGTTTTAAAAAGACACACATTCTTTATATGATAAAAACTCACTATACAAATAAATTAAACAAATAAAATGACAATGCATTGAAAAACAAAAAAGAAGTTATTTAAACATGGTTATTTCTGAGCAATGATAAATATTTAAAGATTATAATTTTTTTTCAGATAGGTAAATAGTTTTTCTTTTTAATATTTTATCAAAATAAGTGTTAAATTCAATTTTACGATTTAAGATTGATGATAATACAAATATATCAAATTATTTTATTATATATTTGCACACATTTAAGTTATAGTTCAATATTATACAGAGTATATTCAACATCAATATTCACTAAAAATAATGTTTGAATATTAATTTATAATTGCTATCATATCAATTAATCAGCTACTATAAAAAAAAATCAACACTCAGGATGGGTAACACACCATACAGAATTTTTAACTATAAATACTCAAATTTTAATTCATATATGTGATAGAATTAAATTAACTTTATAAATATTTACAACTTACTCATCATTAAGTACTGAAGGGAAAATCTTTTCTTCAATCTGATTTTTTAAAAGACAGGAAATACAGGATCCCAATGCAGCCAACATATCAGGGTATAACTCATCGTCTTGAACGATTAACTGAATAATTTTCTCCATTGATTCACATTTTCTTTCATTATCTTTTTCAAAATATAAAGTTTCAGTCTCCAGTCTCATTTCTTTGCTTAACATTTGCAAAGCTTCTTTATCTAAATCAGGCGGTAGCACATTTTTTTCTTTCAGTTTAACTTTTGCTGAAATAATGTAAGATAGGGAATTATAATTAATTAATTGACAAATATGTATAATGTATATTCAACATACCAGGTGTTGTTTTTACAGCAGGTATACTATTGTTCTCAGAGACAACTGTTTTTTTCGGGCTTGTCTCAGATTCTTCATCACTAAATGTGATGTCTTCATTTTCCGCTATTAACTCACCTTTAAGTGATATAAGCATCATATTATCTATCATGTCATCATTTTTAATAGGGTCACCTAAAATCAACAAAATAATATTTAGTTTTCATTCAAATTATTCTTGATATAAAATTATTAATAGTATTACCTTGAACCGCAGGTGGATCACAGAATTCGCGGAAAGTATTTTGTATCATGGCTCTTAGTTCACCATCAATTCGAGGATTTGTAAACAAAGGAACTAATGATGCTAATACTCTTTTATCAAGAATTTGCCGAAGAGAAACAAAAATACCATTACGTATTCGCTCAGTCTGAGCTGGATAAAAATTAGGAATAATCTGAAATTAAAAATATTAATCATTTAAATTCAAGTTTATATAGGTAATTATGATTAGGAACTAGATTAGAAAACACATATATTAATGTTAACTCATAGTAAATACAACTCTACACTCTATTCAGTTAAAGTTAAGTCATTTCACACATGTAACTGAAATTTAAAAACAATCAGTCCCCCCTAATTGGTGACAGGTGTTCCGTGAATGGTTGTTGCTGTTGCTGATCATCATTAATTATTGCAGTTAGTCGTCGACACTACTGTACATATAACAGCTGCCATCTTCATACAGATACTAGTGCTCCGTATTATGGGTAACAATGATTGGTGTTCATCTAACGAGTGAGTTAACTTAAACTGAATAGAGTATAAGGATGATTGGTTTACAATCACAGTAAAAACCTTTTTGTTTGTGGACCCAGTCTCAAATTGAGAACATTCAAAAAAAAAAATACTAAATAGCATAAAAGTATTAGATAAACTATAAATATTTTTCATCATTATAAATAAACACGGAAGACATGGAAAATTTTAATTGATGTTTTATCTCTATCAAATCATAGATTAAATTTAATTCATTATAATATATATGTGAAAGCTGTAAAAAAGAAAAATATATTGTGCTCAGTAAGTCAAAAATTACGTATTACATTTAATAATAGGATTCATATATAATTTTTGAAACTAGTTTTTTAATATAAATAAATAAAAATAATAAACTGTATTATAAATTAATTGATAAAATGAATAATAAAATATGACGTTACCAGAAAAATGATAAATTTATAGGTAACAGCAAAACAAATTTCCAATAATTATGACAGAAAAAAAAACCGCAACCTTAAAAATTTAAATGTATAATTACTCGGCATAAGAAGTCTAGTAGGCTTGCTGTTACTGTAGGATGAATACGTAAAGAGTTGAGCATCACTAAAATTGCTGGTTCTAAGGACAAAAAAAAGATTGTATATAAATTAAAATATAAGAAAATATCAAATTAATTAATAATTAATATATTAAAAGCTTTTTTAATATACTTTTAGAACAGATCAATTTTGATGTTTAATACTTATTTGAATAATTTTTTTTTTTTTATACTCAGATTTATAAAATATTGATTATAATAATATAACAATTATTTATACAATTGATAAATTTTTAATTAAAGAAGTATAGCTTGTAGTACTCTAAGTATCCATAAAGTCAAATGTAATCATTCAAAATTAAGAATAATTGTAAATATTAAATTTCAAAACCATCAATTATAAAAATAAGATAAATCATGACAGTATATTTACACGGTTCAACAATATATTTAGTCATACTTTATCATATTACATGTAAATAAAAGTTAAATCCTGATAGGAATCTAGTTTACAGAAAGTTTAAAAAAAATTAGGATAAAAGAAAAATGTACATTGAATTCCAAATAAACTTATATTTAAGTTGTTGAAAATGATGACCAATTTAACTATTTGATTAAGTATTTTTTTTTATAAAATAATTAAAATGTGTTATGTATGTATTATAAATGTATAATCTAAATATATTAAATTTGACTATACAATTAATGCTCACTCACCAATATTCATAATGTTATCATGTTTTGGATCATAACAAACCCAATCATAAAAAAGAGCCATTTTGGCATTTGCTAACGCTATATTTGATGTACATGTAGTAATGAGCCAACCAATAACAGCCCAACGAGGTATTATGTCTGAACACAATAACTCATTTGTAGGATGTATGAGCCCAACAATAAATCGGATCAAATCACTTCTGAGAGATTGTGCTTCAGGTGTATTCAAATACTATAAAACAAAATTTAAATTTATTAAGAAAAAAATAAAAAATAAAAATAAATTACTTTATTTTGGAACCATTCTTGATATCGTTTATGATGACCAAATCGAACTGAGGAAGTAAAAAATACTAATTTACGTTCCATATCAGGTGTAAGTCTTGATTGTAAAAATCTTCTAGAAGTCCTTGTCTCTAATATTTGTATAACACCTAATAAAAATAATAAAATATTAACATAAATATTTTGAATATTATATTACTTTATAATTACCATTAGTTAAGCCTGGGCTTAATGATTGAGGATTGTATAATAAATCTTTCCAAAACAGTTCAAATTCTGGTATACGTGAAACATTTTGTAACAATCTTATTAAATCTCGGCCAATAATTAAACAATCTGTAAATCGATCACGCAGTAGTGATACAGTGAATGCTACTTCCCGATTACGTAAAGGAATTAAATTATTGTGATCTTCAATAAAACGTAAAAATGAATAAATAACAGATGCTATCAACCATGGAAATCTCTCTAGCCATTTTCTAAAATTAACAATAAAAAAATGTAAAATTAAAGATAAAGACTAAAATATTGTATTCAATAGAAAAAAAAATACCTATGGTCTTGATAAAGATCAAGAAGATATTCAATGAGTGCAATATTAGTTGAAGAAATATCACCACCAGCTGCATTTCGCATCAAGTTCCAACAAAGATTGTCCACACCTGCTATGTTGTTGCGTACCATTTCGCGAACTAGCCACAATAATTGTTTGCGAGGAGTTTCTAAAAGTCGATTCCATTTTTCTAATGTAAATTGTTGTAAATGGGCTATTACACTCTGTAAGCCATCACGTGATAACAAAGTTAAATCTCTGTATATCTGTTGAAAGAATAAAATGTATTATAAATTATTATCAAAGAATAAAAAATATGTAAATAAAAATTAATGAAATAAATGTAAAAAAAAAAAAACAATAAGTAAATAATGAGAAACTAAATTGTAATATCAAAAACTACACAGATAATATCATAATAAAGCTACGGTTAAATCTGAAATTGTATTTAATAAACCAAACTAATATCTTTAGTTTATTACTAGGCTTATAGTTTCATGCAACAACTTAACACTATAAAGTGATGAATTTCTGATCAACTAATCACAGTAACCCATTTTGAAAGTGAACTTGTAGAATAACAGTTATTGAAATGATTATAAAAAAAAAAAACAACCATGTAATATAAATCTTCTACTAAAAACTCTACAAAAAAGATGTGTCAAGTTAAATTTTTAAAACAAATTATTCAATTGCATTTTAATTCCCTGGTATACAATTTGATTTTCAACTTCATAATAAATGAAACATACAGTAAAACTGTTCCAAATGATCGAGGCGCATGATACCAGACTAATCAATATTTATACAATACGCCCGAAGAACAAATGTAATCTAGAAGTGTATACACAACTATTGTGTAAGAAAGCGCACATACCTTGTCAGCGTTCTTAGGATCTAGTAGCACAGCGGTCAGCAGCCCCAAGCTGATGACTTCCTCTTGACTCTTGTCCTTGCTGATGTGATTGGTGAGAGCATCGTGGTACTCTCGATCGTTAAGGCCATTCGTAAGGGTCTGAACCGTTTGATAACACCGTTCGTATTTCTAAGGGAGAAAACAAAATGAAAGACCCGCGACGTGGACTCTGTCAATTTAACGACGGCGAAGACGACGACGCACACGGCTCGCGCACACGACGTATATACGACGACGACGACGTGCGGGTTATATGCATACACACACACGGCACGGCGTTTGTAAGTACGAGAGTGCACGCGGGTACGGCGCGAGAGCGATAGCCGTCGACGGGCGTCCACCGTTACGGTTGCAGCGGCGTCTTACCTCTTCGATCTCGTCCTTGCGCTCGATCACCGAGTAAGTGAACAACTTCACCTGGATCTGCTGAGCGGCCATGGCTTCGCGATAACCGTGTTGTCATCAAACGTGAGCGCACCACCACCACCACCACCACGAGCAACAGCACTGTGATATCGTCCCTCCGACCACCGTGCACGGTTCACGTGTCGTCGACGCGCACATGCACCAAAATATTGGCGGCCGGGTCGGTCTGCAGAACCATTTTTCTGCGACGGTGCGTATTGTTACTACTCGTCACTGGGTGGACACGTTGTCCGGGGTGGTGGCGACAACTGCAACAGTGATACGACGCCGCCTCGGTGATGGAGCGACGAGTGCAATTTAATCAAGGACGTTCTGCTGCTGCTGCCGTGTCCGGAACGATATCCGTGCGCGAGAGGTGCAGCGACTGGTTGCGTAGACAATAAGATAATGTCGAGAGTATTATTCGTTCTGGTGGTCGTTTATCCGTTTATTTATTTATTTGTTTTCTCGCTGGGAACACGATAAGGCGACGCGCGCACCGGACAAGACCCTAGCCGCGTGTCGACATGAGCGCGTGCGTGCGCGTACGATAATGTAAAGAACAGTATATAAAACGTGATATTGTGTGCGTTATTTACGCGACGGCGAACGCGAATTGTGGACCGTGTGGAGGAGAAGGAGTGAAGAAATTGACCGACTGAGAGTGCGAGAGAAAACGACGATTCGGCGTACCGCAGAAAAAAAAAAAAATTACGTTCAACGCTGCGGTGCGCGATGAGTGCGTGTTATACAGCGCGAGCGCCTAGCACTCGATGTCGGTAGCACCGCGTGTGGGGTACATCACGAAGCGATACGCATGATACGGAAAGAGGATGTGAAAAAGCGAAAAAAAAAAAAAAAACCGGAAAAAAAATATTTCAAGAGAAAGAAACGCACACGAGTGACGGTGACGGAACGAGTGGCGTGGTCGGGAGGGAGCGAGCGAGAGAAGGAGAGCCTCGCGTGTGTGATAGCGCGACGGCGATGGCGCGAGAGCGCGCGCGCGTTCGATAACGGACAAACGGTTGACGGGCGGCTGGGGGGTAAACGGGCGGCCGGACGAGCGGATCGCGTGCGGCATCGACGACGAGTGAGCTCGGAGTGCGCCCGAAAGTGACGGGACGACAATGGGGCCACCGCCGGGCTACGTGTACGATGACGCACCGATATGTCCGTCGCGCGTTATCTCCTCGACGCGTTCTTTTACCCGATCCCGTTGCACGTACGAGTACTATTAGCTATCGGCGATTTCTCTCTCGTCAACACGCGCACACACGTACTAACGTAGAGACCGTCGTCCCAGATTGTGTCGCAGCCGCCGCCGAAACGCACGGGAATCATCTATATGGATCGGCGGCGGTGCGTCGCGTGTGGCTCCCTCTGGTGGGCGCACCGCTCGGTTATGGCGCCCGCCCACGGATCTCCGAGCGTCCCGTCGCCGCTCGCACTCGCACGACAACGGAACCGGTGTACGCTCACGGCCCGTCGGACGACCACCTTTTGCCAGTTCGGCGTCGGTTCGCCTCGTCGTCGGTATCTTTTGTGCACGTCTCTCTCCTTTAAGGACATGATCGGTCCTGGTCGATCACGTTTCTCATCGTTACAATGATGGTCCGCGGAACAACACGATGATCCAGCGAAATCGTTTCCCCCCCTAACCATCGTACTGTATTCTCCGATGTCGAAAACACAATATTTATGCACTTTCAAGTGTACCTTTTTATCGTCGTGATAATTTTCCACGATTGTATAGAACACTGACCGACTGACTGCTAATGTATTCAATTAACATGAATTACCAACTCTAGTCTGCCGTAGTATTGATGACGTGAAATGACAGTCATCGGCATCGTTTGTATTACCTCATGAATCCTCTGATATTCATTTTACGTTCCGTAATTTATGAATTTACCATCTACTCGTGTCTTATAAATAAGTCATGAGTCTTTGGCATTTGCATTTTACGAAAAATTTTAATGAAGTCTCAGAAGGACTTACTCAATGTGGTTCGCATTTTTCCCGTTGATTTCCTACTTAGCTTTTTTTTTAAATTAAATTAAAACTATAGAAACAATTTGCAAGTGAACATTATATTACAGTTATTATTACTATTAAATCGATCTTACACTAGATTACTCGAGTGACGGGAAATTAATTATAAACATTTTTAATATACTAAGGTTTTAAATTCTGAGTGGATCGAGGAATGAATTAGTTTTACCATGATGTGTGTCCGTGTACACAATTTTAACTATAAGGATAGCTTCGATCATCACCAAATATCAGTAAAAGTTAGGAAACTTACTCTTCTAGTTGTTATTTTTTAAGAAAGATTTTATGAATTTCTCAATAAGTTTTCGATTAATTAAGAGAAACGAGGAAAATATTTTTAAAAAAAAGTAATATATTTCAAACGAGATTCGAACCCTCATCAGTAGGGTCCGCATTTAAATGCGTTAAAAATCGAACAAAAATGCTTTTGAAAATGTTCGTAAAAAGTGACAAATATATTTTATTTGACTTTATTAATCAATTATTAGGTAATTTATAATTTTTATTTTTTTAAAGAAAAAAAAAACTGAAATTAAAAATTTTGACTTATAGCTGGCGACGATGGTATTGAATAATGAGCTGTATTATTCTTTCTGAACATACCAAAATATACATACATATTATTATTATATATTATTATTATATACATACAGATTATATTAAATTCTAAGTTAAGTTATTTTACCTTTAGAAATGTTGTGCAATGCACTGAACAACAATATATTGTTTAATATTTTAAACTCCAATGATCTTCTATTGTCCGAAAGAATATTTGTATACGTGGAAAAAATTCCTTTCAATGTCCACGGATATTATAGGAACATATTTTAAGTAACAAATAGTGTCTGGTATTAATTCGGACCATTTAAAAATTACACTATTAGTTCTTCTGATATGTTTGTTAGAGGAGTGTCCTTGCCTTCAGGGCCTGCGTTACCTTTTGCGAGACCCTGGGCTAAACTTATTTTACCCACAACAATGGTCACCTATAGTGGATAACATATACGCGATATCGGGTAATGATTGATTAAATTTAAGAAATGCGATAAAATAAATGTCCTATGTATCCCTGAGCGGCGTGCCGTACGGGTGTCGTCGTTGGTATACATGACTTAAGAAATATAATAATGTTTTGTTTGTTAATTGGTTTTTTTTACACGCCAACGGATTTCTCTAGAAAGGCGATCTGCACATTTCACGTTTTATTTTATGAGATTTCCGTACAAAATATTTTTCAATTAAAATTTTAAGTGCGAGGCCCTGGACAAATGCCCCGTTTCGCCTCCCCCTAACGCCGGCCCTGCTTGCCTTTTAAGATATTTTACATTGTTTATATTGCAATTTAACCATACTTCTTTTGTATGCCATTTTCAAATTTTTTTTCATTGTATTATTTTAAATACAAATCTTGGCATTATTTACGATACAAATTGCTCCAGCTAAAGATATATCTGATATACATATCACAATAATCACAGACAGTTGATGACATCTGCCAATAATAGCAACATATTAGTAAATACTTGATTGTATTAATTTCTATTTATTTACAAAAGTTTATAACTGAGTCCCATTGTGTATAAATGTAATTATTGGGCCTTACCAGCAGTGACGGATCCACGAAGGGGGATTAACACCTCCCCAAATCAGGAAAAATATATATTAAAAATCAATAATTTTATGAATTAAGAAAAAGATTTTTTTTTAAAGTATGAGGGAAAGTAGTAGTTAAAAAAATAGTAGTCTTAGATTTAAATTAATGTATTATATTACTAACTATTATCTTAATTCATTATCAATTACTGACTGCAATGTTATAAAAAATATCCCAAGGAAAAACATTTTTCAAACCCTGGAAAGGTGTATAAATGATTTAAAAAACGTTATAAAATTAAATATTAACGAAATTGAATATTTCAACGAATTTTCAAAGATATTAGCGATCAGGGCCGTGCCTAGGGGGTGCAAATGTTGCGTGTGCACCACGCGCCATTAACACTGGGGCGCCAAAAGCTTTTTCATAATCTAAGTAAAATTACTGAAAGTTAACCATATTATTTAATTCAAAATATTTAACACGCCATGGTCTCGCGCGTAGTCAACATCATTAATATTGTCTTGATTGGCGGTGTTGCTAATTTATTTTTAGTATTGGTATTTATTTTTGCCCCGAAATCGACGAGATGACAAATTATCAATAGTATACCATTTATAAAATTATTAAAATAATAAAAGATTGTATACAGAAATCAGCCTCGTGAATGAAGGAAATAATTAGAATGAGAGCAGATTTTGAAATTTATAATGTTGAAAGTATTGAATGGGTCATTAAGAGACTAATTAGGATAATGCGTTTGGTACGTAAGGGAGGGCAGTCAAAGAGAATATAAGATATAATATAGATTTTTTTTTTTCTAAATGGAGTGTGCAGAGAAAGGAACAGCGGTCCAACTTGACGATAAGGGGCCCATGTGAAAATGTCCAGACTTATATTATTATTTATTGTTATTATATTAAAACAGAAAATATATTATGTGTATATTACAGATTATAGTAGAAATATTATAAAGGACAAAGGTAATATCAGAAGAGATCTCTAGGCTCCCCAAAACCGGGGTCTCTGTGAATTGTACACCCAATACTCCCGATAATTGCACCACTTGAAAGGAATCGTTAAGATTTAATTTGCAAGCAACATGATAAGAGATGATGGCTAGTACGTAATCGGTTAAATTTTATTACGAGGGATCTGGAAAGAGTGAGATTGTTGAACCATATTTTGTCTGGTATAATGGGAACTACAGATTTAAATCTAGAAGCGAAATTCGTGGGTAACTTATTCAAGTAGGTTGACTAGAATGAAAAAACATGGCGTTGAAGAACCAGTTATATTATTTATATTGTTCTTTAGTCGTTGATTATTTCTTTTATTAATTTAGTAAATACAAAATAAGTAGTTACATAAAACCCCATATTCTTCAATAGTCTCCTTATAGTTTCAGTTTAGCTATAATTATAGGTTCAAAAATATTTTGTAGTGGGATGAGGGCACTAAAAATGATTTTTGGCACCGGGCACTAATTACACTAGGCACGGTACTGTTAGCGATATTAACAATATTAACGTATTTAGTGAAAAAAATTTGTCTAAAATTAACTTATTAAATATGCTTCATAAAAAAGTCCATAATTTTACAATTCATAATATTCTGTCCAAGAAACAATCCAATTCTCTTTATTTATGTTATAAGTAACGTTTAAACTTACACACAGGTCTTCAAACCGGTATAATGATAGCTAAGTTATAGTCTTATATGGATGTGCATTAAACATCATATTTTGCGGCAAACCATCGAACTCGGTAAAATACGATCAAGAACGTTATTTTTAGTTACACGATTGAGAACGTTCGAATTTTTTTCTCCAACGTTGCCAAATGTAATCGATCAATAATATGTTGATATTTATCGGATTAGCTGGATGTTAATAGTAAATTAGATACCAGATATGAGAGAATGACGGTTAGGCTTTGCAGTCGTCGCACAAACTATTCGTCAATATATTTCATAATTTTATAAGTTCTAAATATTTTAAAAATTTTTTATAAATATATACACTATACGGGTATTAGATATTTTTTATTTTTTTAAGTCCTACATATTTTTAATATTTTATTCATATTATATATTACATATTATTAGGCGCTTATTTGTATACGATTGTAATTATTAATTTGACTTTTTTCAAGAATATTTATTGTATGTATACTGAATTTTTCAAAAGCCAAATAAATGATATGGCAAACGATGGCAACGTTGCACATAAATTCGTTCTCAATCGTATCGTTTTTTGGGTTTTTTTTTGGCTCGACGTAAGTTCATTGTTAATTTTAAGTGTTCTCAATCGTTGGGCCAAAAATATATAACGTTCTCAATCGTTCGATAACCATCGAATTATTACCCGACATCAATATGATTTAACTGAAAATAAACTCACTGTACTTATACGACCTTAATGCAGTTACGTACCACATTGTTAATAATAAATCAATAACATTGAAACAATAAATAAATACATAAAAAAAATGAAACGCATTTATTGAAAAATACCCTCTCAATACGTAAAACAATCAATGTAAAAAATAAGGAGAATTCCTAAATGTTTTGACTGAGAAAAATAACTCGAGTATTGAAAAGTATGAACACTTTGTTAACCCATCACTCATGGTCTATGTTTTAATAATAGTTAAAAGTTAAAAGCTACCGCAGATAAAACTCTAAAATTATATAACAATTGCAAATAGCATTCTTCTCATACTACAAAACTATGATATTTTAGGCAAAAGAGAGGCGAATCGCATCATCACTTTACTGTTTTCTTTTTTCCCAATTTATTCGACAAACATATTACCTACGTAGCAAGGTTGCGTCCTACGAGGACCAGCTGCAGGAAAAATATATTTACTCGAACCTGAGTCCAGAACTACAGAACAGTAATAATTATTAATTATTAACGACCACCTCTGCCCTTGTTTGCAGGAAACGTTATCATACAAACGACGGACGGACGAAACAGTATTAAACCGTATTATCGAACATAAATTCTTAAATATTTCCGCTAAGGTACAACTATGCCACTCCCTTCCATATTTAATCGGCATTTCGAATGCTATAGTATAATACGATAAAAAAATTATATTATAATTTCTTTTTACGTATATCAGAATATCGTTTACAACTCTACATGGTTTAATTTTCCTATTGCGTAATTAATTCTGTATAAACGATAGCAAACTTTTAATTTTTTACTTCGGTTATTGTTTTACCGATAGATCTGCGATAGTTACTTAATTATATATGAAATACAAATTATATACATAGATGTTCATTGGGATAAACTGAAAAACTAAATAAAAATATTATCTAATTGTTTAATTGAAAAATAGTACACAATAATATATATGATATGAAATATTTTATTTTGTACATAGATTACATTTTTAAGAAAATTAATTACAATACCTATTTGTAATATTTAAAATTAAAAAAAAAAACAGTTATTGATAATAATTAATAATAATTAACTAATAATAATTAATACCCTAAATGTCACATATAAATATGTAATTGAATTGTTTCAAATATTTCCGTATACTTAATATATGAGTTATAAATTATAAAAAACTTAACTATGTTTTATGACGGTAAATATTATTTAAAATATATGATACATTACATATTTTAAACTCTAGTATTTTTACTATAGTAAAATACGGTTTTTGTAAAAAATTATAATTACGTTTAATTTTATTTTTAATTAAGCTAGGTAACTCTTTGTATACTACAAACTACATGCACTTATATGGTCTACAAATATTATTAGTATTAGGAAGGTAAAATCATTCATACGCACGGCAGAGACGTCATACATTACTAACAGCACATTGTGTTATTGTAAGACTAATAAAATAATATTATTATTGTAAGAGAAAAATATTTCAAATCCGTGTATTACAGTAATAATAGTTGGTAGACATATTATGATTAAATAACAAAGAACAAACTAAAATAACATAGATAAAATTATTGTTGAATTGGTTTAGAAAAGTTTATTATGTTGTGAAATGGAATCGATAAATAAACAATACACAAATACCACGTAACGTTAATAAACAGTACGCGCACCTTTATCGGTGAATTTAATATATAATATGAACGTGTTATGATCAGGCGACAAGCATAGTGTTTCATGTTATAATCGTACCTATAGGTTTTAACAATCGTATTTCCTATTTAGTACTTTTTCAATCTCCAGCTTGTTTCAAAACAGTCCTGTACGTATTCAACCTATGTCTAGAATATAAATGTTATATATCAGCATTGTGTTTACGTTTTACTGGACGATTACTTTTAATTCCATTAATGTACCTATATTTTTGTGAAGTATAGTATACATTTAATGGTTCGATTATTTCCTCAATTATCAATACGACAAGTCTCTATAAATGAGCCATAAAGTAAGTAAAATATGTACTTATAAATGTTAATTGTAAATTGTAGTATAGTTAGATTTTTTTTTTTCATTAAATTGTATATTTTTCTTTATTCGAATATCTAACAAAAATTACTAATAGAAAAAAAAAAGTCTTACGTAGTAAATTCGTATAGAATCTAGATTATTTTCACGTATTACATATTTTATTATTATCAGCTACCTATATCATTATTATTATACTTTTTTTAAAAAAAGTATCATTATTATGCTTAATTATTTAAATTATTGTTAAATATTATTTAGCAGCAAATTAACTACTTTTATCTATATAACTGGTAATTGTACCTATAGGACATATTTTATATTATGTTTCATTTGTTTTATTTTATTTGGAATTATATTTTGAATGTCCGTACTATTTTACGCGGTGTATAAATAATTAAACAGCCGTTAGTGACAATTACCTCTAGTAATTTTACTATTACATATAATGTACATATAATGTATATGTATATTTCTAGGTGTAAGTATTATACAATTTCAACTATAAACCTATATATTATAACCAACTATATGGAATAAAACATTACAATAATTGTATAAATTAAAATCTATGAATACAAATCATATAAATAATAATAAAATAATAAAAATGTAATTTAAATTAAAAACAATTAAATAATTAATACTCTTAAATTAATAAATAAATAATAGCTCAGACTGGAGTGTTTTTTATTTGTAAGGTAAGACCGGTTTAGAACAAAATAAAATTCATCATCTGGTACATACTAAGTCAATAAAATCGCGACTGAAAATAGAAAAATAGAAATTTTAAAATAAGATATAAAGAACACATTTCTGAAATAAAATTATAAAAAACTGCCTCTAATTCAAATGTTGCTTAATATGTTTAAAAAAATAACCATGATATACATTTTGATATCAATATAGACTTTATATTAAGTACAGAAAATGACATTTACATTAATGCAGTTTTAGAAGAGTTACACATATACAATAAAATAAAGATATAATAATATTTTATATGTATAAGCTGATTTTCATAATAATATTTAATTTAAATACATTTTAGATAATAATAAATAATAATAATAACCTAAGTTTTTACTTAATTCACCACACCACTGTATCGCAGCACTTAACAATTACATTAATTTTAAATGATCATTTTTATTACACTTAGTAAATTTCCAATTATGTATTTAATTTTTTTTTTTTTAAACTGTAATCAGATCTAACGTTTCTAAAAATTAATTTAGCAAATTTTATTTTAACATCAATTTTGTTCCTCGAATTATTAGTGCTTTCTTAAATAATAAATTTAAATATTGAAATATTAAAATATTGGTTATTACTACGAATTAAAAAAAAAAAAATTCTTTATATTAAATATTTTGATTTCATAGTATATAATGAGTAATTATCATACAATGATGTTTATACTTAATAGGGTCAATACAATATCAACATTTAGTTTAGTTTTTATTAATGACGAGTAGTACAAAATTATTTATTTTGTTTTAGATGGTGCAAAAATATTATTATAAAAGTTATTTTTATAATAATTTAATATGGATCCACAACTAACTAAGAAATTAATTCGGAGACGGTTAATTTTAGACAATTTATTAGAAAGCTCAATAATAAATGAAAAAGAAAATAAAATAAAAAATACCGAAAAATCATCAGTATTATTGGTTGATAATATTATTTCATCAAATCATACTGTCAAAAATAATTTTTTAGAAAAAATCAAGAAATTTGAATCATTTAGTGAAAATCAAGTAAAGATAACGCAACAAGTAGTTGTAGAAATACCACAAAATAACTTTATAAGTGTATACAAACCTAATAAGCAGAATACAGATTCACTTTTGTTAAAGAAAACGCATAACATAACAAAAAAACTTGAATTAGACGGTCCTAAGAATTTATATAATTATAACAAACAAAACCAAAATTTATTAAAAACAAAAAAAAAAAAATTTGAATCGTCTTTAGAACAGGAAAATAATATCTCGAAAGAAAATTCATACAATGTTAAGGAACATGCCCAATGTAAAAATAAACCACCAAATACGCCAATTACAAACATTTCCAGTAAGTCTGATTTCAATAATTGGAAAATAGACAGCAATTGGGTGTTCTATACAGATTACTCACATTTAAACAAAACAAAAATTATATTGAATAACAAATCCTCGCAGAAGAAAAAAAAAAATATCGGTATCATTCAAATCGTTAAAAAATTTTCAAGGATTTAAATATATCTTTAATTTTAAAAGATGTTATCTTTATGAATCAAATAATAATATTAAATAATATAAATAAATTAACAATTAAAATTAATAAATAATATTTATTAATGAAAAACATAAAATAAGTAAATATAAGAATGGACAAATGCGTTGATAAATCACTTACTTCGAATAATTTAAATTTCGTGATAGATAATAATGAACCTTGTAACACTGAAAAATGTGAAATAATTCCGATTGAATCAAATGGGTACAACAAAGATAGAGTTAAAAAATCACAGCTCTTATCTCCTGATGGATGGGAAAATTATCAAAAAGAATTTATTCAGTCATGTTTTAAATTTTGGGAAGTCAATGAAACACAATTTCAAGTGGACAAAACTGGATTGGAGGCAGATTTAGCTAATGATTCAGAACTACAAACACCATTCTCATTGTTTGCAAATGAAAATAATAAAGAAATTATTAATGATTTTAATTCAAATAAAACTTCGAACAATGCTATTGATTCAGAAGCATTACGAACAAAAGAATGCATCGATATAATTGACCATTCGTCAAAAAGTAAACAGAAGGGCCATAATGATTTTAAAATTAATGATAATGTTGTTGATAATAGAGGAAATAAAGGATTTCCGAGAAAAAAAATGAAAAAATTTTCTTTTTATAAGCATACAAATTTACAAACCAAATCAAATGAAAAAGTACAACCATTAAGCTTTGATAGGTATGCATCTTACACTTCAGATGATGTGTGGGCTTATAAAATTTGGTTAGAATCGGTAGAAAAAATTAAAAAACATAAACTAAACGTAAACATTACAAAAGGAAACAACGAAAAAAATTCTAATTATGTAAAATATGACACTACAAATAATGACGATAAGTATTATTTAGACATCGAAGTAAGACAAATGGAACAAAAAGTCCAAAAACTTATTAAATCATTAAAGGAAAAAAATAAACTATTTACAAATGTTGATGTAAATGAGCGAACATCAAAGTTTAGATCATCGAATAAGCTTAAATATTTTTTCAAAAGTGCATTCCGAGGAAATCAGAATGAGTTTGACCGACAAATATTAGACGATTATACAAAATATATTAATCGAAAGCTGCATACATGGCAAACTTTATTGCATTGTTTAAATGATATTAGACAAAGAGAATCTTGTTCAATAAATACGTCCAATCTTCCAGAAGACACGATTAAGTATAAATTCATTGAACACGACTGTAATGAAAAAGTGATGTATGATTACGATGGCGATAACTTAAAGTCCATAGCAATTAACCAGGGTCTCAATGGAATGGGTAAACAGAAAAGTAATAAGTTTATTAAGTTACTCAGTAAAACAAAAAGTACAATGGACCTACGTTCTACTGTTAAGCGGATGGATCATAACAGTTTCAATAGCATCCGAGTAGACCAATGGTCATCAAATCAAATCAACGAAAAAATTGACATTTGCAAGCTTATGAGTGGTGTAAACTGTAATGTGAACCGTCCAAAACATAATATCTGGAAAAGCTTATCTGACACAGATTTGTCAACCATGAGGTCTTACACAGATTATGACGAGAAGTCAATTGGAAGCAAAACAATGAGAACTATTAGCCGGAAGACGTTAACACCAGAAATGCTGATAGTGGACGACGAAGACAACCGTCACTGGGATGATATGGCCAGAGGATTGTGGGAAGAACAACAGGAGTGTTTTCATACGGTTAGAGCTCGTTTAGAGTATGTTGGAAGCACTTTTACAGAACAGAATCAATTAATTGGATTAAAAACTTTATGTAAAGTAGATGTGTTGGCTAGATTGGGCCATTCAGCCGAGGCCGTGGACCTTTTTGTATCCACACTACCACTAAGTAATAATCCCGATTTAATGATTCAAAAAGCTAAAGCAGCGTACGACTGGAAGTTTTACTGTCATCTCTCGATATGGCATCATTCTTATAGAGATTGACTGTAAAAAACAATAACTTGAAGCGAAGCTTAATTCATTTTAATACCTTATAGTATATTTATAGTAGTATTTATAGCAGGGGCAGACTATGGCAAATGCCCCACTCTAAAAAATTTTAAAAAATCGGTAAATAGTAAATTTTTATTTATTATTTTGTACTCCTAAATTAGATAATATTCTCTTTTAAATACACGTTCATGGTTTATTAAAAGTTGGGAAACACTGGCTCCTCCTCATTTTATGACAATCGTTATTACGTGAACATTGTACATTTTATTTTTGGTATATTATATATTTCTACACGTAGCATATTTTAGGGGTGAAGAAGGGGCGATCGCTCCCCCCCTTTAATCCGTATTTAAGGGATTGATTGTATGTGAAATACACAGTTCAAATTTTTTTAATGTGGATCATTTTATAACAAAATCAAATTACGCATGGCTGTGAATATCAAAGTGGGCTTTTTATCGGGTTCATACTTAGTGAAAAATCAAATAAAATATCTACAAGCGTAACTTTCAAAATACAGATAGGTGTTAAAAATAACTGGGTACACAAAAGTTGATTCTAAGGGGATCCGGCATTAGATTGAAAAAAAACCACAAATATTAAGGAGTCATCTGATTTAAATATTACCAAAAATTTTACTTGTACATTTTGAGCCTGAATTAAAGAAAAAATTTGAGTTCTTCCCCTAGAAGTAAGTCTAAATACGCCCCTGGTCTATCGTCCATAAATATTAAATATTTAAATATATAGGTAACCATAAATTTTTAAATATTATAAAGTCGGCAAATTTAATCAGTTGCCCTACCCTTTCAATAGTTGAAATGACGCCCTTGGTTTATAGTAAAACGTTAAGTTATATATTGGCAAAATACTATTATATATTGCTTCATATCATACACTTAGATCTTATTTTACAAATACGAATGTAAAATACAATTTGCTTTTCTGAAATGATGTACGATATCCTATTTATATTTATGAAATTTATCTATTTACTCAGTGCTTTCTACATATGCTTTTCAATATTTAAAAATGTTTATATTATTTGTAAAGTATTTAATAAGACATTTTATTCATAAATATTATAATAAACATAGTGCAAAACACTATGTTCTTATTAAAATTCAGAATAATTATTAATTTAACCCTAATATTATAATTATTATACTTTGTTATTGTTATAATATTAAAATAATATTGGTAAAGCGAAAATAAAAATTAATAAAATGCTAAAATAAAACTGAGAAATAATCATTATATAAATTCTGAAACTTGCAGAAGTGAACAGGGTTCTACAAGGTTAGCACACTATTAAGGCCGTACTCAGATTTGGTGGGCCCCGGATAAACTAAACCTTCTGAGCCCCCTATTTTTCAAAGGGTTTTCCTGGTTTTCGCAGGGAAATTTTGTCTAATTATGTATAGAACTAATAATTAAATTATTATAACATCAAATATTATTGCAACCATGCTATTTTAATATGTTTTATTTTTATATAAACAATGTTGAAATTTTTTCAAAGAAAATTTAAATACTCAAATACATAAATGATAATATAAAAAACGACAATAATATTAAACGTGATATAAATAACCATAATTTATTTAATTAATAACCCTAAATTTAAAATAGTCCTAGGGGTTTTTTTCTTGCGTTTCTCACTGCGAAATCATCAATAGCCCCATCCATGTCAATCGTCTTTGCCAGTTGAGACTCCACTGCTAAAACACCTAAGTTTAAGAGACTGTTGTGTCATTGTTAATCGTAATACATTCTTCACTTTCTTCAATGTTGAGAAATATCGCTCCGCACTCGCAACAGTTGCAAGAATAAAGATTCGTAATGCAATACATAAATTAGGGAACATGTTTTCAAGATTAGTTTTTTGCAAGTGATTCAGCAATTCTGAGGGGTTTAGTTGTTTATGTCCAAAGTTGATAGCATAAAATATATTAAGACTTTATAGCTCATCTACTAAATCTTCTTGTAAATCATCATTATACTTCAAAACCAGATTTCTAGATTTTAATTTAATTTCTCCTTCTGTTATATATTTAAACTTCCAAAGAATTGAGAACATATAAATAACTGTTTTCAGTGATTCGAATCGTTTGTTTATATATGCAATTCATCCAAAATGACAAAATACATTTCTTGATAAGATTAAAGTAGAATATAAGTATTCGGTCGCTATAGCTATATTTATATATAAATGGTTTTCAAATAATTGAGTTGTTACGAATGTTTTCGATGTATCGAATGATTTGCAATTATCATTTATCATTGAAATAATATACGGATACACAGTATTAATATATGAATAAAAATTCAACAAAGTGGTAGTGCCCATTGGTCGATACCTAAGCTCGAGCATGAATTAAAAGTTGTTTTTTTATAAGTCTAGGCCCTTCAAAAATAGGTTTAGGGTCGGGCCCCAGACAAATGACCCGAGAAAACCGGTCTGAATATGGTCCTGCACACTACTGAAGACTGGATGGATGGATTTATCCGAAAAGGGAAAAAGGAAATATTATACAAAATTTTAGTTTAGATTACAGTTATTTTAATAAAATTCAACAGTAATTTTTTTCCGTATTCATAAATGTTAAACAATTCTTATATTTATACAGTACAATTTTAGTTTTAAGATCCGTACCTATGATATATTGAAGTGTTTTAAAAACAATTTCTTTTCTAAAATTTTAACTATATTTCTGATATGTTGTTAAGTTAAAATTTTAGTATACTATTAATTATCAAAGGGTACTGACCTGTTTACAATGAATAAATAAAAACAATTAAAAATAGTACTTTATAATTGTTTATTGTGAACATATGCTTTACGTTATAAAAGCTAGTCATAAATATCTGTTTAACATCATACTGATTTCATTCACAAATATTAAATAAAATTATGTAGCCCTAACTCTATGTTCACACCTGAATAATGCGGATAAAATTAATAAATGGAACGGTAATATCTACATCTCTGTTGGAAAAATTTCATATGGAAGCAGCAACCCTCTCGTAAGAATTTATTTGTACTGTAACTTTATTTCAAATTTATTCATATTATATTATTTGAATACATTTTGTCTAAACGGAATTCTTATTATTATAAAAATGTATTCACTACCATAGATATAACTATAATCGTGATAAGTGTGATACATTTTTATTTATATATTAAATAATATATTTATTTTCATTTTGTTTGTTTTATAGACTGAAATGTGCCATAGTAGACTAACAGGCTTGGCGTTTTTGCACACACACAGATCGATTATATAAAATGAAAATATAATAATAGACCGCTTTGTTAGCAAAAAAAAGATGCAAAGATTTTGTAGTATAATTTCAAAAATATAAATTTGTGTAGGTACTGTGCTGACTATGATGATTTGTTTTTTTTTTATGTTTTTCACTGATACAAACATTTTGTAGAAGAAATGGGTTTTAATTACTTCTGTATCTAAATCCCATGTAAATGAATACTATTTTTTTAATATATGTATTTATACAGTTTTTACTTTTGTACATTTCTATATTATTGAACATTTACCCGTTTGAAGTGTTTAAAAAACCAAAAAAAATAATTATAATAATAATATATAATCCTTTTTTTTTCAATTTATTTTTTGATTCTTAATTTAATTTTAAAAAATCTAATAATTAATATTAATTAATTTACTTAACTTTATATTATATTCACTTATATTTATCTTATATTTTTCATGTATAAGTATATCATTTGAAATTATTTGTATATATTTTTTTTTAACTTAAAAACTATACTCATTACTCTTTTGGGGTTGTTAAATAAATAATTAAATATTTAAATAAATAAATAAATAATACGCGTTCCTATCATAATTTTTAGAGTTACCGCGATAAATGTGCCTTAAACGATACATTTTCAAAATGTACGCATTACATATTGGCAGAAGGGTTTGGAGTTCTGCCACTTTGGACTGTCAATTGACAACCGTCAATATTCCATATCATATAATTTTATTTTATACTTTAGATTCCATTTCTGTGCAAGTGGTTTTGAATTGACTTCTATGATTTTATCTAATATTGAAGTCTGTTTTGAGTGGTGTTTATTAAAAACGAACATGTTACTAACTTCAATCCTACACTGTTATCTATTCGTAATCAAAAAACATATTTAACAGTTCATTGTTGTTTGTACTGATAAAATTATTTTATTCAAATTATATCGTATTTTTTTTTATTTTTTGTAAGTGTTTCAATTTTCAATAATTTCAAATCGCTTATTTTTGTTGTTAAGTTTAAACAAAGTTAAGATTATGATTTTAATATTTTGACTGCTGAAATTTTTAAAAAAAATTGATTATGGCTAATGATTTAACCAGAGTGAAGGTAATAGTCGTTAAAATACCTTTTTTTTTTTTTTTTTTGACAATATTTACAATAAAATTTTATTTAATAATTATTAATACAATTTTAGGGAACTTCTATTGTAAAACCAATTATATACGGAAACACTGCTAAATATTTTGGCCAAAAACGACATGAAGATGGTCATACTCACAAGTGGTCTGTATATGTAAGGCCTTATGTAAATGAAGACATTGGTACCTGGGTCAAAAAAGTTCATTTCAAATTGCATGACAGTTATGAAAGTCCAACTCGAGTAGTTCAAAAACCTCCATTTGAAGTATCCGAAACAGGCTGGGGTGAATTTGAATTGGTCATCAAGATATTTTTTCAAGATACTAGTGAAAGACCAGTAATACTAATTGTTTTTAAAATATATGCTATATGTTTATCAATTTAAGTACACGACACTTCTTAGTTACAATATTTTTGGAATGAACCTAAATTTGTTTGAAAGGTTAAATATATCACTGTTGAAGCTTCTAAATTGTTCAAATATTTTGCTAAGAGTGTGCTAAGTACAGATTTAATTTTTTTAAAGTGATTTTTACTATTTTGCTATGTTTTCAAACTCAATAATGAACAAAAATGATCTGTATTAAACATGAATCATAAGCACATTTTTTTTTCATTAGCTAAAATTGTTATTAATATAAATTTATTTCTTAAATGTTAGGTACAACTAAATAAAAGATGTATTTTGTATTTCATAAGTATGTTTTTATACATAATTATACTTTAGTTTTTATTAAATAAAGGTTAAAAAAAATTTAAATATGAACAACAATTATTATTTATTGGTTGTGTATTTTAATAATGAACAATTACTAATTATTTTGTTACATAAATAGTTCTGTAAGAAACAAATTAATTTTTTTCCAGGTTACACTTTATCATGTACTTAAGTTGTACAGTAATGGGCCAGATTCTGAACTAAATGAAAAACCAGTCTTGTCAGAATTCTATGAAGAAATAATTTTTCAAGATCCGTCAACTTACATGAAATATGTATTGAATGATACATTGAGTAAAAATCCACCCATTGCTGAACAAAATCTTCATTGTATGTACTTTTATTGGGTTTAATGTAATTTTTACATTGTATAATTTTTTGTTAAATTTTTGTTAGATGAAACCATCAAGAAGACGACAGTTGATAAATTAAAAAAATCAAGGAAAAGAGTCCAAGAACATACTATTATGTATAAAGAACGGTTAAAAAAATTAAGAGAGGCTATTAATAAATATAAAGATGAAATTTGTGCCATGCAATCACAATGTAGTTCATCAGCATTACGTTGATTAAAATGATACAATGTCAAAATAAAAACTAGTACTTCCCAATTTTTAATAATTTAAATTTCCAATAAGTCTATTTATTCAAACAAATTGTATTCCATTATTACATTTTAACTAGTCTAATCAAAACCATTTGTAAACTTTAACTTTAATTTATATAATTAAATTAATAATTTTCTCTCCAACTTTGTAAATTGAAAAATAAATATTTAACTATTAATCTTAATACTGACTGTGAAAAAACTAAGATATTTTTTTTAATATCATTTATAGTTAATGGTGTATTTTAAGCTACTAGTATATTTTGATGTACTAAAAAAATAAATATATCATTTGTAATAAGTATGTTGACTAATGATTCAATCTGATTTTGTTATTTTATAACTATATTATGAGAAATATAGTAGTTATTTATTTTAAATGTATATAATATGTGTAATGTAAATTTTTAAATTTATACAACTTATTAGTTAAGAGTAAAACGAAATATAATTATTCACCTATGGATTTATTTTTTCATGATTCGTAGGGGATTTCAGTGTTATATATTATAATTATATTATAATTTTTTTTTACTTAAATAAGATATTTTTTATGTAATGGAATAATTATGCAGACAGTGATTAATTTCAAAAGCTTATATTTTGTTTAAAAATTAACTTTTTGTATTAATTGTAATGATATGCACCTATATTCAATCATTACATAATACATAATATAATAAATCTTCATTATGAATAAGAAATTGTATATTTTATTCAATATTTACAACCAGAATTGCATAGTTATGTCTTTATAGAGTATTTATAGTTACATATTTTTTTCTGGTATCAATAATAATTACAGATAATAAAAATGTATTTAGAACAATATTGAAGGGTACATTATAAAAGGTCAACCTTATCCTCAATTTATATTACATCATTGAATATTATATTTTATAAACACTACGCTATGAATAAATAATTGTAATTGAATTATTGTTGGAAGTACTAAAACATTATTAATATAAAACTTAATAGTAGGTATTACATTATTTTTAATATTTTTATAGTATATTAACAACTAGTATGGCTATTGAACATATACATCATTGGTGATCACTTAAAGATTTCTGTTTTAATAATTTATGTACATGTTTATGTATTAATTTTAAATAGTTTGATTTTCTTAAAACAAATTTTCTATTTAAGGTAACAATTAAAAAACGTATTTCTAACAGTATTTGGGTATATTTATACATTTTAGCGAACAAAATCCTTTAACTAATATTAAATATTAATTTATATAGTAATACACATCTTAAAAGTTGTTTTTTTCATTAATTTATAATTAATTATAACATACGAATAAAATGTGTATTCTTAATATATAATATATTATAATGTCATTACTAAGATAAAAGTTAATTTAAATTTTGAACCAAAGGGAATTTCATCTGACTTTGATCATTAAAAATGAGTTTCAAATTTAAAATAGAGACAAATTTCTAAACTATGTTCAGTTCATAGTTCTTAAGTTTCACAATCGGTTAATCGAAATTTCGAGAATAATCGACCATTTAACCATCGTTTTTCATTTGGTACGGATCTAGATGATTATGATTTATTTTATTTATGATCATAGATGTTTATTATCTATATCTGTATAATTTAATGAATTCCTAGTGATAATGAAAAACATTTATACTTTTGGTATGACTATCTCAGAATGTACTGGAAATGAAACATAACAATACTAATATCATTCTATAGAAGCCTTTCAGTAGCTGTTGCGGTACAGAAAACTTTCATGACAAACATTTAGATTGGCCAGAATTTCATGATTTGCATAGATAATAAAACAATTATCTTTTATTATCAATGGAGATTTGATACGAAACCTAGTGATAAACGATAACATCATTTCGTTACTAACACTCTACTAAAGCTTGAACTCATCGAATTATAAATATTAAATAATTATTATGTTGTATATTTAATTATATATTATTATTTTTTATAAATATATTGGATTACAGTATTGTTGTGGTTTTTAAAATGTGTACCTTTTGAAATGTTATAGTGTATTTCGATTTAATAATTAATATTGTTTAATTGACTTTGTCGTTAATCTTACTACATCATTTAAACAATTAAATTTTAAAATGTATTAGATTATAAAATAGTATTGCAAAGAACAATATCATCAAGTATGAAGGAAATCGATCTTGGCTTTTTCATAATTTAATTTATACTTGGTTCTGGTGGACATCAACATCTACAATGGCATTTCTTTCATACGTACAACTATGGTATGTATATTATTGAGGAATATACTTAAACTTAATGATATTAGATTTTACCTTTAATCATTTCGCTTGTGATATTTTTATTAATGTTATTTATTTTTATTAATTAGGTATAGGTTAGTATTTAACTGTATTTAGAATGAATGTAATTATTTAATTTTTTTAGTGTATTAACTACTTAAAAGGTATTTGCTACATTTATTAATTATTATTTTATTTTTTATGTAGGTTTTCAATTTCAATTTCTGTTATTACATTATTGATGCTTCAAAGTTTTTTACCAGAGCCAACAAAAAGTATTGATACAAAATCTACCTTAGATACTTTTACCATCAATTTTCTTGGATATTGCATTGTACTGGTTCCTGGATATTTGCTTTATTTATTTGCTCAAGAACAAGATTTAGGAGGTAGAGTACTAGTTTTAATTAAATTTAATGGTACAATGATGTGAACAAAAAGTTTTAATTTTAAATTGTTGTTGAATTTTTAACAGATAATCGTTTCACAAGTAAATTGTTAAGAATATTGTTTAGAGATGAACATGATTTAGAACCTGAGCAACCATTATCGCCTGTTTACAAGGGTTCAGCTAAGTTTAGAAATGATATAACCACATTTTTATACTGTTTCGGAGGTTTACAAACATCTTATTTGATTTGGGGTGTAATTCAAGAAAAAATGATGTCTGAGGTGATTATATATCATAAATTTATCACAAATCTAATCAATTATTATTATGTAATTAATATAATTATTCAATGCGTTAAAAAAAATTGTATATTAGGCCTATGGAACAAATGAAGAATCCAAATTTCATGATTCACAAATGTTAGTGTTTTTGAATAGAGGTTTATCTACAATCTTATCTTGCTTATACTTGTTAATGAATGAGGGCATACGATCCAAGAAACCTCCACCATTATATAAATACAGTTACTGTACTGTGTCCAATATTATAAGTTCTTGGTGTCAATATGAAGCACTCAAATATGTCAGTTTTCCATCACAGGTATGCATTAATCTAAATTATATTAATTGCACCATAATATTTTGTTATTCATTAAGGTTCTAGCAAAAACATGTAAAATTATCCCAGTTATGTTAATGGGAAAACTGATGTCTGGTAAAAAGTATCACTATTATGAGTATGTTACTGCAATTGGAATTTGGATTGGTATGGCTATGTTTCAATTTTTCACAGAAAATAAACATTCTGGTAAATAATTTATTGCGTATATTTACCATATATTTTTATTAATTTATGTATGAATATATCAAAATTTAGTTCTAAAATATAAACATTCTATTTTATTTTGTTAGAAATTACAACTTCTGCGACTGGAGTGATATTGCTTGTAGGATATTTGGCATCAGACAGCTTTACGTCAACGTGGCAAGGACAACTATTTAGACATTACCAAGTGACTCCAATGCAAATGGTTTTTTCTAATTCTTTATTATCATCTTTACTCACGACCGTATCGCTGTACCAAGTTGGCTCGTTCAGTAAAACATTAGCATTCATAAAAAAGGTGTGTTATTGTTATTGATGTTATTTAATGTGTAAAGTAATAATATATTTTATCTTATAGTATCCAGAATTTCTAACCGACTGTATAGTCTTGTCAGTGAGTTCTGCATGTGGACAGCTATTCATATTCAAAACAATCTATAATTTTGGACCAATTGTTTTCACTATAATAATGACCATAAGACAAGTAAAAAACAATTGTTATTTAATTATATTCGAGTATATTTTATCAAAACAGTTATTATTAAATGAATTATTCAACTCACTTTTCATTTGATTTAAATTATCTATAAAAATGTTATTATAACAACTTAAAATGAAAAACCGTCGGCTGGTAATTCTATATTTTTATGAAGTTAACTTTATAAAACACTATTTTTCTAATAGTTATTGCGGTAGCACATTTGTGTTTGAACGTGTACAGGAACCAAACAGTTTGTTTTGATGATTTTATTTCTTAATGTTTTCGAACTTACTAAATGACGAATAATGCACGCGTGTATTAATTAGAAATGTTTTCTTTTTTCAGGGTCTATCGATAATTATTTCCTGCATAAGATATCATCACCCTGTCACTGCGTTGGCTGCTTTCGGAATTGCATTCGTTTTTATTTCCTTGTTTGTACGTTTCTATTGCGGTTACCGTATGAAATTTAAAAGAGGTCCTAATCATGCGGCGACGTTCAAAGTGTAAAATCAACTTATCGCAATCGCTCGGACTGTGTTTACGTGAAATAATATATATATATGTATATGCCCGAGTGTGTTTTGTTGTTTGCGCTGTCGGTAACAAACGTTGACCGTTTGGCGGCGGTGGCGGCGGCGGCGGCGGCGGCGGTCTCAAGTGGTCGAGTCGCTGCTCTTGAACGTCAACAACGAGACGATGCCGAAGAACACCTGGGTGGCCTGGAGCACGAGCTGTATGCAGCCCAGGATGTTTTCCAGCCGGAAGGTGCGCTGCTGCCACAGCAGGAAGTAGAGCACGCCGACGGCGGACGGCACGGTGAGGATGAGCGACAGGACGACGCACACGGCCTTGTCGGCGGCGTTGTCGCGGCGCGACAGAAACGTACGGAACACCTCGATCAGGCACAGGAACACGAACACCGTCATGTTGGTGCCCAGCTCGTTGGCCGAGAACCGATTCTTCTGCGTGTCGTCGATCGACTTGGCGCATATCACCGAGAACTCGAACATGGAGAACATGCCGAAGTAGTAGGAGTTGAGGTACATCAACACTTCGAACATCAGCGGCGCCTCCATTTCGCATCACGATTTAGATGTATTTTATTTTTTCCCGTTCGCTCCGACCGCCGCCCGCGCGCTGTGCAATACGACGACGTGCCCGCAGCCGTTCGCAAGGATTCCGCCGCTGCCGCCGCCGCTGCCGACTCGGCTATTTTCGTCCACATGAACCGCCACCGCCGCCGCCGCCGACCCTGGTAATCGATAAAACGGTGCACTACGTCGCCCTCAAGCGATGATGGCCGGGGGAGGGGGGGGAGAGAACGTTCTCGGTCCGTGCGCGGGACGGCAAAGTTTTTTGAATTCTTTCGTCTATCGTACCGCACGAGTCCGGATTGAAAACAAACCAATCGTGTTCGTCGGAAATGAATATATTTTTAAGAAAAAAAAAGTTTGAAATAAAAACCGATAAAAGCATACACGTATCATGTAGTACGAACAAGTTGTGTACAACGCGGATCCTTTTAAACGGTTCGACGTGAGTGGTTCGTCAAAAGTGAACAAAAGTTGTTTGACTCGACCCAGTACTTTGTTCGTACCGTTTGTCGTGGACGGACCGCTTCTAAATCTATATGTATATATGTGCTGTATTAAACAAGTAGCAACAACATTGGTGCCTTGACATTTTCTCTTGTATCTTTTATTCGTTGCAATTCCGTTCGGTTCCTGTCCTTGCTAATCGTTAAACTTCCAAAACGACTTCCATTTTACGAATAACAAAACACAACTTTCTACTCAACAACACCGTATTATAATGGCTGTAAATCAAAGAATGATCGACAGTGGTAATCGATTTATCATGGCACCGAATGCAGTATACTAATTATTAATTATAAACAAAGATTAAAAATCTGCCAATGTATAATGAATATATGAAAAGTATTATAGAAGATACGGTTTTATTTTCTGATGTATAATCTATTATCTCTATGTCTCTCTGTGTATAATAATAACTAGGGAACGGATTTGAATGTAAATTGCATTTTTTTCTGAATGTTGGAAATCATTGCTTTCCAAGTACAAAGTTAATTCGTACTTCAAGAAATTGAAAAATGTAATTTTTGTTTTGTATTTATTTGACATTTTTAGTGTATTTTAATGTTCTCAAGTCATTTTAATATAGAAACAGATAAAATTAAGTTCAAATTTAGTTAAAATTAATTTATTAATATTATTTAGTATACTAAGTATACTGAAATTATATGAAACACAAGGTAAAATTATAACAAATGTATCTATTTAAATTGTATATTCATTTTTTGGAAGACATTTAAGGTGTAAATAACAATAAAAGAAGAATAATTATAAAATTATACGACTAATTACTTAGAAAAAAATATTTAATAACAAAACAAAATTTTTTCAATGTTAAAAATAATTTTAAGAGCACTTTTTTAGTACATTTTTTTTTAGTAAAACTGTAACAAATGCATTAAATCATATTTTTTAAGGATTTTTTTTTTTTATTAGAGCATTTAAATCCGTTCCTTAATAATAACAATAGTGTAAGTCAGTTCGTGTGATACATTTTACACGATAAAGGCAACGGTCGAAACGCCTCATTACTTATTTTCTATGTACCGAACTATATTATCAAAGTGTTATAAATAGATGATGAAACATTGATCAATATGAAACAATAAACATGCGAAAACTTTGAAATCTAGTCCGGTCGATAAATTCTAATTGTACGAAAGTAATTTGTTCGTTAAAATATACAAGAATGAGACAAATAATAATTATCAAGAAGCGTAGTTAGCTAAATTTAAATTTTCAAAATTTAATGAAATTTAAAATATACATTTTTTAAATAATAATTTATAAATTTGGACATATTAAATTTAAATACCTACTAGGAAAATACTGTACATTTATACTCGTGGCAAAATATTTTCTCTGGGCGCTTTGCAGTCACGATCAGTGTTGTGCAATTATCTAGATAAAAAATAATAAATTAAAATAAAAATTATAGCCATCCAAACTAAAATAGTATAATATAGTGCAACGTTTCTCAACCAGGGGGTCGCGAACACCTTGACTTTGGGGTCACGTAGGTCAAAAATAATAAAATGCTAATTTACAAAATGTAAATTCAAATCAAATTTTTACCTAATATAGATGGAGGGGAAGGGGTCGCGACACTAAAAAGGAACAAATATTGATTCAGAAATTAAATTATTTCGTGAAATTCAAAAGCGTATGGAAAAGTCAAGGAATATTATGATTTTTTGTATTAACGAAGATAATGATACGGATGAGAATTCACCAAATACAGTAAAAAAAAACTTTAACTTACTATCTCTATCTACTCCTTTAATACATGCTACTCGTATAGGGAAGAAAAATGTAAAACCACGTCCTATACAAGTTAACCTTGCAAGTAAAGTAGAGGTGTTGTCTATTCTATAAGCGAATCGAAAATTACACATGATTGATACACTAAAACATATTTTCATCGAGACCGAACAAACAAATCAACAGCGTAATCAATACAAGAGTGGCGGATTAACTTTCTCGGCACCCTTAGGCACGCTCAGTGATTACCGCCCCCTTTTTTAAGTACTGTAACAACCAGTGGCGTAAATTAGTTCTAAATTCCTGGTGGGACAGGGATATATTCTCAACTTATAATTTCCAACATACCAATTTTCCAATTTCATAAATAAAATCCTTTTCAATAAACTAAATATTTTCCCATATATTTCTTTAAATAACAAATACATTTTGAATTATTTTAGCAGTAAAAGCTTTATTAATATAATATTAATAAAAAATTTTTTTTTTAGTATAATGATTTCCTTGGCTCTTAAAAATAATATTATAGATACCTATACAAATTTCAATAATTTTCTGGTGGTGCAAAAATATATCTTTGCACCACCACATTTTATATGTGGTGTTGCAAGTGCCACATTTGGACCGCCCAGTTTACGCCACTGGTAACAACCCAAAAATCGGTAATCGGGTATAGCTGTCCCGGGAGGGAGAAATGGTTCAAAGGTATTAAGGTTAAATAATTATTACTCTCATAAGCGTGCGCACGGGGTAGTCAGGGTAGGCACTTGATTACTCTGTGAAACTTCCGTCTCTACACCAAAATATTCATAGTTATCATAATAATAAATAATCATATTATGTTCAACCACTTTGAAGCATCCGTAAGCAGTAAATACATGTATAAGAATATTGAAAAAATATAATTATTAAGTTAATTTAAATTACCCTATCCAAATTTGTTGTTAATATTAAATGTAAATATGTTATGTATGACTACTTTGCCAGTAATTTCTGCGCGCTCTTATGATTACACTTTAATTCAAATATTGTATACATATAATTAACCAATGTTAGATTTTTAAGAATCTATGAATTCGTAGGTATCTATCTAATACCTATATATTGAACTTGAAACGATACTTTTACTTCCCTTAATTATTTACTTCTAAGGCATACCTCCTTGGAAATTTACGATACCCCCCCCCCCAGGGATAGGTCTGAAATAATCACTGAATTGAGGGGCATATATACTTACTTCTAGGGGGTGGACGAATCAAATTTTTTTTTTAATTCAGGCTCAAAATGTACAAATAAAATGTTTGATAATATTTAAATCAGGATCCACTTAGAATTGACTTTTGTGTAGTTCTTTTTTAACACATGTGTTTAGAAATTTACGCTTGTGTTTCATTTAATTTTTCACCAAATATGGACCCGACAAAACGCTCAATTTTGTATTTATAGCCACGCATAATTTGATTTCGTTATAAAATGATCCACATTAAAAAAAATTGAAATGTGTATCTCACATATAACCATTTCCTTAAATACGGATTCAAGGAGTGTGATCGCCCCTTCGCCTCCCCCCTAAAATACGCCCATGAATTGATGACTACTAGATTTTATATACATTTTATGTGTTATTTTCGTGACGTGTATATTTTTCATTTTATTATTCTAATAATTTCAAAACTGGGCAATATCTTTTTTTTGTCCTGAGGGGGGGGGAATTATCCCGAATCCCTCCCTCATTTGTATGCCACTGCGTACGTAAAAATATGCAGTAAAATATATATTATTATTATTATTTTTATAATATATATTTTATTTTTATAAGTACAAGTACTTATAGGTACTTAATAAGTACAATACAATATAGGTTGATTACAATATCATAATATATATTTATGAATAATTTAATAGAGCTCCAAGAAATAAAGTTGTACTTGTGATTGTTCGAACTATGCAATAGAGAAACAGCCACTATCTTTAATAGGTATACAAAACTACAAAAGGCGAGGGTGACCAATGTGTTCAGATGTCCACAGCAAAATAAATTGAAAAATAATATGATGGGTACTTATGTGTTTAAAAACAATCAATTTATAGTTATAATAATGAACCTAAATAAAATCATTACGATTACGAACGTCACTGTTTTAATTAGTATGTACATATATTGTATAATATGGGTTGAAAATAATCATACATTTTCGTCGAACGGTCGAACATTCAAACATTTTCGCCGGTAAATTGATTTATATTTACTCGCGAACTCGCCAACAATATTATCGTCAATCAGTTTATATATCAATATTTAATATTCTCAGTCGTCTTATTAGTGAGAAAAACTCCACGATTTTGGCTTATTCTTATTTAGTGGCTGCATATTTTTCATGCGTCACGCGTAATTCATAATAATGCAAGTTATAACTAAAAACAAGTAGCTTTCCCATCGGGCGGTTTGTCATAACGTATTTTCGAACTGCCGCGGTCGTTCACGCAAATCGACGTTTCAAGAATAGGCTCCCTCCAGAGATTTAAATTATTAAATTGCGAATTTTCTGATACCAAAATTAATGAGTTTTTGAATGTCATTATTTTTTTTTGAGAGTAAAAAAAATAATACACAAAAAAATTGCCACCTTAGGCTCGAGCCTGACGAGCCTAATAGTTAATCCGCCAATGCAATACAATGACGCCAAACGCTATCAAATTGATGAAAAAAACATTGTGGTGATAACGATTGGTTCATTGAATTTTTTGATGGTGTTCCCACTCCAACTAAAAAAAACCCGATGAACGCAAAAGAAGTATAGTAAGAATAAAAGTTATGTAAATAAAGTATCATAAGTTTAATTTGTCATGCTGGGCATACATCAATTGCGCCGAAAATCGCAGGTAAAGAAAGAAAAATTATGGGATAGAAAAAAGGTATACATCAACTGCGCCGATCGATATTCCAATGTTATAAATTGTGTACGTCAATTGCGCCGATCGATATTTTAATGTAATAAATGGTGTACGTCAATTACGCTGATCGATTCTTAAATATATATAAACATCTATAATACTATTTCTATTATAACTACATATCGGTTTTTACGTGTAATAATAATATATATAATATCTAATATATTATCTATATCATAGGTAAGTTTGAATTATATTATTGTATTATTATTAAGATAAAACAAATTAAAAAATGTGGAAAAATACCGTGTTAGGTTATAGATAAATCCATAGTATTGTGCAGTACAATTCCACGCGTTGTTCGTATAGTCGTTCGTTTAGTTGTCGTGGCTCGTGCTTAAATTTATAATGGGAATAGTATTAATTAATTTAATTAATAAATTAAATAAATTTATAATTTTATTTACTTTTAACTAATATAACTTTTTTAATACCAGCGCAATAGATGTATTCCTATTTAATATACCTTTTTTATACCGGTGCAATAGATGTATACTATACATCTATTGCGCCGGTATACATTGTATACTATACAGGTAGTGTCCCAAATTCGGCGCAATTGACGAAACCCCGTCATGCTACTATTAGATCGATGGCGTGGGGCTGGGTGGAGGAAGCTGCAGCTCCCCCCCCCCCCGAAAAAAATCCTGGCTATGCCGCTGAACAGAATATTAGGAGTTTAAATAATAAATTAAATAATTTTATATGTAATATACAGTGTGATAATTATGACTTTCTTGTGTTAACCGAAACCTGGTTTAAGAGCGAAGTATTGGATTCAGAGCTTGGCTTTCATAAATATAATATATTTAGATGTGATAGGAATAATCTAACGAGTAATTGAAGTCGTGGTGAAGGTGTTATTATAATTGTGGACATTAAATATATCTGTAAACAGAAATTTTTACGCCCGGGGAAAATGTTAAAATTATGCCCTATTTGGCGTTTATTAAATTTAAATTAAATTAAATCATAGACCTATAATAAAATACTCTTCTCAAGAATTTTTTCTAATAATTAATATGCAATTATACTCATTGAGTTTTAACTTAATATCAGTATTTACAAAGTTAAAAATATCAAATTAGTCGTTAATGATTACAAAAATTACACCTAAAAGTTTACGCCTGGGGATGACTTCCCGTCTTCCACCCTTTAGTTCCGCCCCTACCTGTGAATTTATATTGATTCCTTATGATTCAGTTGAACAAGTTTTTGTATTAATTACAATAAACGACGCTCAAAAAATTATTTTAGGTTCATGTTATATATTCTAGAAACAAGTCTACTATCGGTTTATGAAACACGCAAACACAATTAATTGGCTGTTTTCAATTTTGGAGATAAGACTGATATCTTAATCGCAGGAGACTATAACTTTAGTGGCATGACCTTTTTATGTAACAATACTCGTTAAACCGCAAGTGGTCACCACTCTGCATCAGTTTTTCCGTTCACAATTTATCGCAGTATAACTTTAAACGTAATCTCTAAGATAATATACTCGACTTAATCTTCACTTAAATTTAATATCTATTGAATTGTGTTTGAGTTCCTTAGTTATAGTAGAACACCACCCACCCCTAAGTATTAGGTACGAGTTATATAAATTAAATAACTCATCAATTCCAACACAAGTTCATCGTAATTTTAGTAAAACTAATTTAGATAGTATATCAATCGCTTTAAATACAATTAATTGTTGTAATCAATTTTCCTATATGATTGTCGATACAGCGGTTACAAAATTTTACACAGTAGTAAATAGAATTTTAAATTTATATGTACCAATAGTAAAGCGTTTCAAATACAACTAGGTATCCTTCTTGGTTTGATAATAATTTATGAACATTAATAAAAGAAAAATGCTTAGCACACACCGGAATATAAAAAGAATCCCAGCCAAACACCGTACATGAAATTCTCTGAATCACTTTCAAAATGTAAATATTTTTCTAAACGTTGCCATTATCAGTATTTATCTAATGTACACAAAAAAAATCTATCTACCAATCTTCGAGGCTTTTGGAACTATATAAAAAACCCTCAGTAATGCATTTTAATAAAGAACGGTACGACAGTAGTGAAGACATGTAACGCTTTTTCTAATTACTTTTCCTCTGTTTATATATCACCGAATTCTACAATTGCTTTTCATTAAACGAACATAAACCAAAATTCACATATTAATTTATCTTCTTTAAATAATTCAGCAGTTGAGGTTTTTGAGGGTTTTAATAACCTAAGTACAAATAAGACATATGGTCCTGATCAACAGCTTCCGATAATTTTATTTCAATGTCGTTATGCACTAGATTATCTCTTATGTTTGTTTTGTAATACATCTCTATCTGATGGCTGATTGGCTCTGATGTTTTCGACTTTAATTATGATAATGAAACTAAACTTCGTTGTTTAAGTCTAGGTTTCGGATAAATAATAAACAATTGTTATATATATACATATAATGTTTTAAATGTAATATTTTTTTTCTGTTCATATATTCTGTAATTAATGTAAATTTTCTATGTTTATAATAACACTCAGTGGTATAATTGTGGAGAGATAAGTGCCCCCTGATAATTTTGAGAGGTTTAAAGGTATAATTTTGTCCCCTCCTAGATAATCCAACAATATAAATATTTGAATTATAAGTTAAGAAATAATATAATATTCATGTATTATTTAAGATATTATATGATACCTAAGGGAGCTTAGGATTTTGTTCATGGTTAATAAATTATTTTGTCCCTCTGGATTTTTTCCCAGTTACGCCACTGATAACACTTACGTACACTCATGATGCACACTTATATAAATAAATAATATTATGTTATCTTTAGCATGACTGGGATAATGTGTAATTGTGTGAACATTCAATATTATAATAAAAATACAAAATTATTTTAATTTTCAATTATAATTATAAATTTAAATTTCGAAGTACATAATGTCTTATTTAGTTATTTAGATAAAAATAATTTTATATATCTATATTTAGATAAATTCAATTTCTACGGTATCTATCTATATCGATTCATTCTATATATATTCAGATATCTTATCTATATCTAGATTATTTTTATAATCTAAGCACAACACTGGTCATGATCCTTTCGCTACCTGTATCTATTATCTAATTTTAGTAACAAGCCAACACTAAATCATTCAGTTTTGAATAATTAATAATTTTGATTGGTCGACGTATGACATATTTTGAGAGGGTAAGATTTAATTTCGGAGACACTCAATTTGTGGACATAATTAAAAAGTAATTTATTAACAATAATAAAATTAAACTTTACATATTATGTTAACATGCTGTTTTTATAATTATTAATTTTTTTTTTTTTTACAAAATGTGACGAATAAATCATTTTAGTTCCCTTCTATCTGACAATCTTGTTCCCATTCTGTAGACATTTCATTGTTAATAAGGTTTACGAAGTCATCTAAATTGCAAGAATAACCACATTTTGGAATTGACATTTCTTCTCCGTTTTCATTATCCCATTTATTATAGTAGAATACCTAAAGTAAGAGTAAAATAACTTTTAACTCTATAATTTATCAGTGTTTAATATAATATTATAAGGTCTAAATAATTTTGTTTATAAAAATTGTAAAAAAAAAATAAACTTTCACAAACACTTCCATTATCATCCGAATTATTCAAATTAGATACCATAACTAATTAACGATTTCTCTTACCTCTTACTACTAAATAATCCTCCGTTGAAAAATATACTAGCAAAAACTCATTAATTAATGTTATACCCATGTATAACATTTTTTAGAAAACTATTAGAATCATACCTTTATTGTTTTGTTCAAATATAGATGAAAATGTGCCGAGGCACCGAAATCAGGTAATTTTATTTTATTATTGCCTAGAAAATACATCATCGTTCCTAAAGTCATATCATGCCCTGCATAAAGATGCATATTATTTTTTGTTTTAATGTAGTCTGGACTATTTGATTGTAATTCCATGTTCAAACTAATCTGTTTTATCAGAGGTCCTGAAATAAAAATTTAAAAAAAAAATCATAATTTTTGTATCGTTAAAGAATGATACGTATTATAATAATGTGAAAATATAATGAATGACAATAACATTAATAAGTAATGACTAATAGTTCAATGTTCTGTTTTAATGTTTATATATATATATATATATATCTCAGATGTCTATCCTCAATACAAGCATTGATTAAAAATACATTGTATATTTAATCAATGCTATTAATTATTTATTTTGTTAAGCCTGTAAAGAAACAAAAGATAACATAATAAAACAATAAAATATGCGGTCAAGATGTTAAAATGAAGACACAGGGGTCGTGAACTGCTTATCTAATGTAATAGTAAAAACATGTATATCACTTTCAGCTATTAATATTATTATTATTTTCTGACTGCTATTTATTTATTGTATTATTACTATTAATTTATTAGTATTGATTTCTTATTAATTATTATTCACATTGAAGTTCATCGGCTAGAAGACTTTTTTTCTCTATCTTTTTTTAATGTCGTTATTTATTATTTTTATCATTTAATTTTATTGTTCATGTAAAAAGAATGTCATAATATTGAATTTCGAAGAAAAAAATATTAAAATAACAAACGCCTTTTGAATCAAAGGTGGTATTTGTGGTATTTTAATAAAAATGTTATAATCAAAATTAAAAATGTTTGATGATATCGAAAAGTCAGTTTTAGGAATTAAATTTGTTTTAGTTCATTAAACTTTCTTTACATTGGCGATATTAATTTTTGGTATGATTTTTGTATTTTATAGTTTAATCAGCTATCTTCGGGTGATTTTGCATATATTTAAAAGTTAAAAAACAAATAATAATATAAAAATAATAATTACCTATAATTATATTTTGTATTTTTTTATTATTATAAACTCTTCTTGTTTGTTCGTAGTAAATTAATTCCATTAATTGAAATTGTTCATGGTTGATCCATTCTGGCAATTGCAATTCGTTGGATATCTTTGATGAAATAAAAAAATCTGTTGTAAAGAATGATGAATGATAATTCTAAAAATATTTTAAACTCACCATGGACTTAAATAGATCGTATAAGTCAAACATTGCTTCAATATTGATTGGTATTCCACATTTTTCAGACAAATGTGACAATAGTTCCTCAATTTGGGTTTCATTATAATTATTGATAATGACATCGTTATCATTTTTCATAAACCAGATTGTGTACGGACATGAACCGTTACGAAACAACTTCAAAAGAATGATTCTCATTTTATATAAATTAAATTTTACCCAATCAAAAGCTCACCGTACATTGAATAATCAGAAATCGAATTTACGGAGAAAGAAGTAATACGTTTATTCCGTTTTATTTTGAAAACGCGGACGGAGTTAAATTATCACTGACCAAAGCTATATATTATAAATTTTAATAATTTATAAATTAATATATTAGTTTTTGAAATGTCATGAAATATCTAATAATGCCTTAAACGCTATTTTTCTAATTTAACGCAAGTAACATAACATCGCATTGATAATTAGATACATTTTGAAAATAATTAGGTACTAACAACCAAATTGTATATACAGCAAATGTATAATATTCTGTTTTAAGAATACGATCATATATATATATATATATATATATATATTTTTTTTTAGTAAAATATGTTTAATGGAAACACAACGTATAAGTATTAAGTTATAAGCATACCATTGTTTGATCTGGCGAGTCATTGGAAATCGGTATAGGCTGCCACACTGTTTCCGAGAAGGACCACTTTTGATAATATTTTGGCGGATACATTCCAGCCAAAACCATTGCTGCTGACATGAAAGTTCGACTATATTTGGTAGTTTTGACTAAAATCTCATGGTCAAGGTACAAATCACTAATGAATCCATTGTATAAACGTCGGAACAGTTTTCCTTTTTGGTACATATGCTGTTTTCCTATCTAATGAATGATGGATAACAATATTATACAACTACACATAGTGCAAGTGCATTCAAAATGCAAAGATATTAAATTAGATTGCACATTGTAATATTGTTTAATATTAAATAAAAATATACGTTTTTTGAATACTTGAAAATTTATCACGATAAAAATGATATAAAAATTTGTTTTAAATATTAATAAATAAAACCGATTTTGAATTTGAAATTTGATGGAGATTGGTTTTTATACCTTTGTTAACTGCCCTTTTCCTTCAGGAAAGTTATTCTCGTAAATGTTGGGAAAAGTTTTGTAATCGAAAGCTGGCGATCTATCTCCATGGCGGAATACCTGTGAACATATTTAATAAAATCTTGTATAATAATAGTAAGTCACTAGGTAAGAATTTTTTTGGTTGGATAATATTAATTTTATATTTTTGACGGATAAATTAGACAGAGATATAAAATATTTAACGTAAAAAAGAAAAAAGTTGTCTAAAACGCGTGATTTATTGAAATCGTTCTAAAACCCCATTTGTTGCATACGAATATCGTAAAATATATTTGTACTTAATGAAAAAAATAATTTTTTATCTTTCATTTTGATCTGCGTCGGTTATTCGCTACAGACCAACAAACGTTCGTTTCAAACGCAGTGCGTATTACGAAAAATTTAAAGATTCAGGATTTGCGGCACCAGGGGGTGGACACAAAACGGCAGTAATGAAATCAGCGGCCATTTTAATTGAGGTACTTTTGTTATTAAATTATAATCAGTGATAACTGATATTCGTTATTAATTGTAATTTCAACTATGGTAATTATTCAATATATGATCCTAACCAAACAGTGTGAAACATGGTGACCTACTGGGTACCAAGAAGTTTTTACTTGTGGATCATTTTTTAGATAGTATGTCTACCATAATACAGGCCCATGTGCAGGATTTCAGAATGGGAAGTGTTTTAAAAAACAAAAAAATGTATAAAATAGATTCATCGATGGTTAAATAGTATTATACAGGTATTTATATACATTTTTTAAGTATATAAAAACGTTTATATCGATATAATACTATAAAATGCAAATCATTGTTCAAGTAAATTTACAAATATAATTGTAATATATTTACAAAATCACAATTTATATTTTTTTGGTAATGATGGGAGTTGACCCATGGTTATACCATAGCATAAGACTTACAAGCCCCCCAAATCTCAAAATCTTATTGCACCTAATACCTTGAAAAATAATACTAATATTAGTAACATTTGAAAATGCGCAGAAGCTTATAAAGAATATTACTACCGTTTCATGATGGAATAAAATGTTACTAACTTCGTACTGTACCTCAAATAAAATGGCTGACTGATTTCATTATTGTCCTATGCTGCACATGTAATTTGTTATCAGTGTCCATTCTGTCTTATTCTGTGGCGGTACCGACGAATGTTGTTAACTATTAATAGGAACCTTGCGAACAACAGTATTGCAACTGCTAACGTTACTCGGTTAAACGTAACAATATCCATTGGTCGTAACTGTGCGCGCGGAAATATTATGCTACGGATTCAACAGCGAAACCTTGCCTGGGGCCGTGCACGGGCAAGATTTATTTATTTTGTCAGCGGCTCCGTTGGACGGGTAGCTAGCCGTATACGTACCACGGTGACGGACTTGAGCGAGGTGCTCGCAAACGTTCCGGGCTCGGCGTCCGTGTCGTTGTCGTCGTCGTCGTAGGACTGCGTTCGTTCGTGGTGCGTGACCGCGTACCAGACGCCGACAACGGTGCCCACGGTCAAGCACGCCAACAGCGTGACGATCCTGCGGTCGAGCGTCATCCCGCGCGTTTCGGGTTCCGCTCGCGACGCGATTCTTCTGAGGGGGGGAGGGATACCCGCTCGCCCGTTACCTGTGCTCGTTATCCGTGTGTCGTCGCGCACCGCACGTTTCTGCCGCGGTGCGGCCGGACCCTGTTCACGCTTTCCCGGGTCGGACCCCCGAGTGCTGTTGATCGCGCGTTCTCACCGTTTCTCGGGCCCTCGATACAAGACTCCGGCGGGACGTGTTGTGGCGTTTGGCGGACCGTAATACGTACAGTCTAGTGGTCGACCGCAGAGTTGATCACGTACCACGGCTGTTGAGCGAGCGTGAGCTAATTGCAGTGTCGATGTCATCGCCGATTGTTAAGATCATTAAAATTAATAACTTTCATTCGCCGCTTATCACTCTTTTTGTTCTTCTTCGCCCACTCAAATAACCGATCGAAAACGTTCGAATTACGTTTTTTATCATCAAATGTAATTGTGTTACTCGCTACTTAAGGCCGCACACCGAAGAAACTAGTTTTAACGAACCGATTTCATATCTGCCGTACACCGATGAAACTAATCGTTTATAGTTTCAACAATGTCGTCTGATGATGAGGATGTGTAAATTACGATAACATCCTATTATCAGTGACAATGAATATAATTACAAGTGTAATACAATTGTACTTTACTCAGTTTCATTTTAAATACTGACATTTAACCTAAATGTGTACATTTCTCCATGGTGGGTGGTTTTATCCTCTACGCGAGTTCGTCTATTTATAAGACACCAGCTGACCCGACAAACGTTGTTTTGTCATATAAATTATTTCTAGAGAATATTTTGCTAGAAAAAATAACTAATTTATTATAGGCATGTAAGGATAAGGATGTAAGGAAGAGGTATGGAGTGCTATGAACGGTGACGAAATATAAAAATGAAAAAACATCAAACATTTATTTTTTTAATAATTTATTAAAATTTATCCATTAAAATTATATATATCACTAATTATGACAATATTATTAAAAAACAATATCTATCCCTTAATGCAACAGAGTGTACAATATTTTTTGTTATCCCATATTTCGCCAACACAAACTGGATGGTTCGAGAGCATGCCACGTATAATTGTCCGTGTGAAAAATATGATTTACTCAAAATCTAAGGCACAGACAGACATCGTTTGGCCTTGAGACTTATTGATAGTCATTGCAAATGCCAATTTAATTGGAAATTGAAGGCATTTAAATTGTGTTGGCATAACTGTGGATATAATAGGGATTCGCGGTAATAATATATTTTCACCTCAGAATTTGACATTTAAAATTATGGCTTCGATAACATTTTTCATTAATTTTTTAACGACTAATCGCGTGCCGTTGTACAACCGTGGTGGGTCAAACTACGAAACAAAATAACTGGAGATCAAACCTTCAATTCTAAACTATGCGGTAGCATGCCTGGTAAATCCAATGAGTTTAAAAACTCTGTTGGATAATTTATAGCTTCAGTAGTATCGCAAACTGTAGATATAGATTTGTTTTACACCAAGTCTCCTGGTAACAAATGTTGTATCTTGAGATTCAATTCATTGACGTCCTCATTTTTTGATATTAAAATTGCTCTTTCTGTCAGCCACTCATGATTTGTGTATTGTCAGTGTACATTGGGAAATATCTGGTCAATGAGAGCATCTTGCGAATAAAAATGATTGTGCAGAAATCGGTCGGTAATTTTATACATCCCGTTTCATCTATAGTAACTTTCCCATCTCCAATATGTAACAATTGTTTCAAGAATCTTCTGCATGCAGCTTTTTTTGATTGAATCGCAAGTATCGAAATCGTTCGCTCTCTATTTTTACATTTCGACCATGAATTGTTGACAAAGTTCATGACATCGTAGAATAACTTTGTCCTGATCGCGTCTAATCATCAACCGATATGCATAATAATTTTTCGAACTAACATTCCTTTTTGTTTTGGCACCTTTGTTTAATATTTATGCAATACCCGTCATTTATTACCAAAAATAAAATTAATAGTTTTTAATAGTTTTATTTAATGATTAATTTTCAATTGCGCAGTTATCGACCTGGTCAAAAATTATTAAATTAAACTATGATTTATTAAACAATAGCACTTTTCCAACTTTTTTTTTCGTAAAAACCTTCTCCTGGCAATTACGAACAATTTAAAAAAAATTGAGCTAAATCGGCCCAGCCGTTTTCAATTGATGAAATGTTATACATTTTTGGCTCCATTTTTATATATATCGATAACTAATAACTAATTATTTATTAACTTTATCGGACTAAATGTACGCCTAAAACCTACTCTGTGATGTCTTCTTTAATTAAAAAAAAACTGCACGACATCAATAAGTAGTTTCAGAGTTTATCGCGAACAAAAAAAAGCGACTTCATTTTATATAGTAGTATAGAGTATAAATATAGATATAGATTTATAAATACTTTTGACGGTGGCAGTTTATGTACTAGTATAATAAATGCTTATATGTGGTAGATATAACAACGTATTTTGTTTTCTTTAATAATAAATACAAATGTATGTAACTGAATTAAATAAGGTTCATTGCAGAGAAGATTACTTAGAATTTCTTGAACTAACTGTTATATTTTAAAATTGTATTCCTCCTCGTGGAATCTTGTTTCAATTTCCAGGAGCAATTCATCATGTTTGCTGGATGTCAATAGACATACATATATTGTTTAAAAATACTTTTATTTCGTCAAGAATATAAATTTAACCAAAAGGAATACCAATCAGTTGCTGATATATGTATTTTTATTATTCGTTGTTATGTAAGAGCGTGGTTCAATGCTTCAAATGCTTGTTTTTCACCACGCCAAGACTTAATTTTTTGCGAGATCTTTATGTCCATTGAACAGTAGATGAAAAGTTTTCTAAACTAACACTAAAACAATTTCTCTGCTATACACTATGGTAATTTACTATACTATGGTGTAGTAAACTAATATTTCCTAAATCCTATACACCCATTATAGTAAACGAACACTTCCCATATATCAGATAATGTCTAACACAAGATCCTGGACGCCGAAATATTGTATACTTTGGACGACAGATCACAGGTTTCTTCTAAAACAATAAACTATATTATTCCACGTACAATTTAAAAATAATTTAGAAACCCGTCCATGATCATGCGTAGAAAACGAAATAAATCAAGTATGTAAATTTGTAAATAAAGTATTTATACTTTGGTAGGTACTATTAATATTGTTTAGTATGATAGTATTGTAGTAAACCGACCTATATCATATTAGTAATCTAAACCAATCTATGTCTTATTAGTAATCTACACATGTTTTAATAGACATCACCTACTCCTAGGTGTCCTTTCTTGGCAATTATTATTTGGCATTCAAAAAACTCTCTATTACATCCGTATCCAAGTCTCGTATGCATGTGTAAGAAGGGTAAAACAGCGTTCGCTGTTTCATATAAATACGACTACTGTTAGTCCAATAGTTCAGAAGAAGAAAGAATAAGTTATCCGAACTTAGCCTCAAACACTATCTGGTCGTGTAGCCTGCGTGCCAGTTAATCGCCGCCAGATTTAGTGTTAAAACACTTATCTTCTCGGGCAGACTTTTTACGTTCTGTCCTCAAATTTACTTAACAATTATTGTACTTATGCTTATATTTTATGTATTATAATAAATATTACTTTTAAACTAACTTCTTATTGACTTTGTGACTCCAACATATTTGCGGTTCAAGCGAAGTTGTCAAAGGAACAATTGTTAAACTCTTATATTTTATTCTGTGCAAGTGCCAATAGCATGTTTTAAAATATTTTTATTTTTTTTATTTTAATACGTAATATACAATCTATATCAAACGACACAATAAGCATATATGATAAGGGGTACAGATTACATGAGTATACAAAATACAAAAAGTGAATAAAGAAGCCACCCAATGATGACACTTAAATGTTGATAGTTTATATGAAAAATGTAAATGAATTAAATATATTTAATAAGTTAGTATTTTTTTTTTTCTATATTAAAATTTGTAACAGGTCTCTACACCATTCACGTTTTAATCGTCTAGGAGGACTGCCGGGGATTGAGAGGGAGGAAAGGTTTTTAATTAAAGGATTTGAGTGGGAGGAAAGACGGTTGTGGAATCTTTTGTAAAAGTGTTTGGCTTCCTCGTGGATAGTTTTTAATTTTAGGTCTGTATGGAGAGTATGGTTAGATATGTATGGGGGAGCATTTATTAATTTTCTTAGCGCAATGTTTTGAAAACATTGAATTTTATTTAAATTTGTCTTTTTTGCACTTCCCCATAGCTGTATCCCGTACGTCCATATTGGTTTCAGTAGTGTTTTGTAGATAAGGAGTTTGACATGAAGGGAGGTGTGTTTATTAGAGACTAGAGGTTTGAGGATACGAAAGCGGTTGTTCAGTGAAAGTCTTTTTGCTCTAATATGGTGGGCCCAAGTTAATCTTTTATCTAATGTAAGACCAAGGTATTTAACTGAAGGAGAGGATGGAATTGGAGCACCGTACAGAGTTACCTCAGGGGTAAGAGCTGGTCTAAGCGTAAAGGTGGTGTGTATAGACTTGCTATGGTTTAATTTAAATCTCCATTTGGTATACCAATTCTCCATAAGGTCTAGGTGAGTTTGAAGGTTTGCGGAGGCTATGCATGGGTTGTCATTCATAGATATAATTACTTTATCATCGGCATAATCTGCTACTGATGTATTTGGTGTGATTGGTTGATCTGCTGCGAATATATTGTAGAGAATGGGGGATAAAATGCCGCCCTGTGGAACCCCAGCACTTATACTGCCAATACTTGACGTGTCAGACCCGTAACGTATTTGGAAGGTACGTTCAGTTAGATATGATTTGATTAGATGATAGAAGGGTGAAGGAAGAAATGTTTTTATTTTATGCAGGAGACCATCGTGCCAGACTCTATCAAAAGCTTGTGATATGTCTAAGAAAGCTGCTGTACAAAATAATTTTTTTTCCAGAGAGAAAGATATTGCATCTACTACCCTATGTAGTTGATGGGTCGTCGAATGCGAAGAACGAAAACCAAACTGGTAGTCCGGTAGAACTTTTTTGTCAGAAATTATTGGTAGGATACGTTTAAGTATAAGTTTTTCTAAAATTTTCGCAAGGAAGGGAAGAAGACTTATTGGTCTGTAGGAAGAAGTTGTATCAGCTGGCTTATTTGGCTTATGGATCATGATAATTGTCGAGAACTTCCATATTCCATAGTAGAGGAAAATAAGATAATCTGATTATTGAGTTGAAAATATGAGTAATATGAACAATGGCTCTTTTGGGGAGACATTTTACTACTTCGGCCGTGATTAGATCGTAGCCTGGAGATTTTTTTTGTGGGTATTTTAGGATTTGATATTTTAAATCGTTAGGAGAGAAGGGTTTAATGGGGAGAGAAAATTGAGGAGGGACATTGAGAGACCTATTGACCAGTGTTATTGTATCAGGATCAAATATATCTGGATGAGGCAGGAATATCTCAGAAAGATATATTTTAAATAATTCAGCTTTTTCAGAGTCCGATGACGTAAGACTGCCGTTATGTTTTATTAAAGGGAGGTTGGGGGTTTTATATCGGAGAATTTTTTTTGTGGCTTTCCACAGACTGCCGTCTTTTGGGGAGAGATTAGTAAGATTGTTAACTAGCATTATATTTTTGTGTTTAGCGAGAGTTTTCTTCAAAGAGTTTGCCAGTTGGTTGTAAATTTTTTTATGTGAGGGTAAACGAGTGCGTTGATAACAAGTTCTAGCCTTACGCTTTTCAGTTATCAACGTTCTTATCACTTCTGGAAGTGGGTTGGAAATATGAGGAGTGGCGGGATTTGCGTTTGTAGCAGACCACGCCGCATTCTGTATAATGTTAGTGAGATCCTTAACTGCTAAGTCAATATCGTCAGGTGTTTTGAGTTTGATATTTAATTTAATATTTTCATTTACATTATCATGAAATTTGAGACGATCAGTGAAACGATTGAATAGGTTAGGCGATGTTTGTAGAATTGGGGGAGAGGTATTTAAAGTTAATAGTACAGAGGAGTGATCAGAATTTAAATCAAGAATATTTGTTGTGTTGTTATAAAGTGAATTGGGTAATTTAGTGACGAAAATATCAAGTATGTCCGGTTTTTTTTTGAGAGAAGATGGCCAGTACGTAGGAGCAGGAGGTGCAAGTACTTTGTATTTTTTTAAGTTTATAAAATTGTGAAGCGTAGTGCCTCGATGATTGCCTGTGCGACAGCCTCACGATTGGTGTTTAGCATTAAAATCACCTCCGACTATGAAATTATTTTTAATTGTGTTAAAAAATTCTGTAAACCTAGCGGTTGTTATATTATGTTTGGGAGGGGAGTAAATTGCCGCAATAATAAAGTAAGTAAAGTTTAATTTAATTTGAATTGAGCAAGATTGACAGAAGTCTTGGGAAAAACCAGGCAAAGGATGGTAAGTAATAGATGACTTAATATATATAGCCACGCCTCCGTGTGCCGTATTATCAGGATGATTAGTATTAATCAATTTATAACCTGGGATATATATTTTAGAATTATTAGTGAAGTGTGTCTCAGAGATGAGAGCAATGTCAATTCGTTTGTTGTTTAATACTGTTTCGAGTTCATGAGCATGATTTCTTAGGCCATTTGCGTTGAATAGTAATATAAGTAGTGAGTTGTCAGTGACAGAGTTGTTGTTATAATTGTTATTTAGCATTTTTATCAAGTAGGCAGGAAATTACTTTAGTGAGAAGGGAAATTAAAGGATTGATGAGAGACTTAAAGTCGTCTATGAAACTTGACATTATCTTATTAATATCAGGAGGGGGAGGAATTGTGTTATCGGGCGGAGCGTTGGACGTAACGTGTGCGTAAGTCTGTGTTTGAGAAATGGGTTGACTAGGAATTGAGTGGTTAATTGGGTGGCTAGCTTGTACATTGGTAAATTTAGTTTTAGAGTTTTCATACATAAAATTACTTGAAGATGGTTTTTTCCGACGTTGAAGGTCTTTATAGATAGTACACCCTTTATAGTTAGCAGGGTGGTTTTGAGAGCAGAGGGCACAATTTGTAGGCGATTCACGTGAGTTTGGGCACAGGGATGAGAGGTGATCCAAGCCGCAGCGGACACAGTGTGGTTGATAGCCACAATATGCTTTTGTATGGCCGTATTGTTGACAATTATGACATTGACTTATTGATTTTGGTTTGAAAGGTTCTTCAATTTTGATTTTAGTGTGTAGAAGAGAAGACAGATGAAAAATTTCGGAAGAATTGGACGTGGGTTCTAAGTCAACAAAAAATAGCGGGAGAGGGTTTTTGTTAACCTTATGGAGGACGTTAATTACTTGTCTGACTTCGAAAGTAAGGAGTTCTAACTCTTCTTTTATAGTTTCAGTTGGTGTGGAAGGATGTAAGTTCCGTATGACTATCCTCAAAGGTTTATCCTCTTTGAGTTGATAAGTATGAAATTGCGCTTTCTCCTCTTTAAGATAACGAACTAGAGTTCTATATGAATCAGGGTTTGGAGTTTGGATTTTTAATTTGTCGGCAGATGCTTTACAGACAAAGTTATCTACTCCGATAATTTCAATAAGCTTTTTGCAAAGTTCAGGAAAATCCGCGACGCCTTTCACAAAAACTGGAGGCGGTGGTTTGTTTGGTGCGATATCATCAATGACAATTTGTTCGGTAATTGGGGTGGTTGGGTTTGAGGGCGGAGTTACATCGTGATTTTCATTTTGACTCAGAACTAGATAGCGATTTGGAGTTACAAAAATTTTTTTTTTACCTTTTTTATCTGTCTGCTTGTTCGTTGATGGGGATGGCGGATCGGAGGCAGAAGAGCTGGAGTGGTTTCTTTTGTTGTTGGTGGAGTTTTTGACGGACCAACCTTGATCAGGTGTGACATCGTTTTTATTTCTCGTAATTGTAATCGGAGAGATTGTGTTGTTTTTGTTGTTTTTGTTATTTTGATTATTATTGGAATTCATGGTCAATTATTGATATTGATATTAGAAATTAAATTAAGGACAAGTGAGAGTATTATACTCATAGGCTGGCGATAGCGTTTGCAGGTAATTACGCTTATCTCAACGGCCGCGGCGGCCGCAGATAGGAAAAAACGTATGCAGTAACGTGCAAGTTTGACCGAAACAACCGAAATGTAAATTTCGTTTGTTGAGTATTCACTTACATTTAGTTGACTTGAACGAAATAAACAGATTTAATTAATTTATTTTTTTCGTAAAGAAAAAGAGTTGAAAGTTACGTACGTTCTCACATAACTATACTGGTGAGGTGATAGAAAAACAATATAGTTTTAATTAAAATTAATTAACGAGCTAATAAATTTACGAGAGCGCATGGAACGCGTGCGAAGCGGACGACTGCTATCGCGAGAATGTTTTAAAATATAATATTGATTTATAAAATATATTGACAACTATTAGAAGTAAACATTAATATGAGGTTAAATATATAACAACCTGATGTACTAAATCTTAAAGTATATTATTTTAAATATTTTATAATTCGTATTAGTTGACGCATCACATAATTCGGGTAGGTAAAGTCATAGAAAGTCATTTTATGAACATTATTATAATGAAATATGAGATCCTATCTATATTTAATCATCAATAAAAGTTTCCCTAATGAGATTATTATTATACATAATAAATCTGTTATTTCAATAAACTGTGAGTAATATTAGTTTTCCATTTCTTTACATTCTTCTTCCCAATCTGTCGAAAAATGTCTATTTATTCGTTTTGTGAAGTATTCTAATTCGCAAGGATTACCGCAAGCTGGAATTAAAATTTCTTCTCCTTTGTCATCGTCCCATCTGCTATAGTAGAATACCTAAAATAAGTTCAAAATAGCTTTTAATTATATTCTTTATAAGTATTTGATATTATATAAAGTTTAAATGTATTGTCTGAAAATTTTTTTTTACAAACGGCCTCTTAATCATTTTAATTAGATATCACTAATATTTCGCCCCTCTCACTCTTAGGTAATTCTCCTATAAAGTGTTAATTGGAAAGGACATAATCAAAAACCCTTTAACTACTGTAATATTTCCGTGTTTTATTTTTTTTAGTTAAAATTAGAATAATACCTTAACTATGTATCCCACCGTTTTGTCCAGATATAGATGGAAGTGTATTGAAGCACCAAAGTCAGGTGTTATGATACTTCTATTGCCTAGAAAATACAAAACAGTTCCTAAACTTATATCATGCCCTGCATAAAGATACATATTTTTTGTTGTTTTATAGTTTGAGTTATCTGATCGTAATTGCATGTTCAAACTTATCTCTTTAAGCAATGGTCCTGAAATAAAAATTGATAATATTTCTCATTAATATATTATTAAAAATTCATGTGAATCATATGCAATTATAAATAGAATTAACACTAAGATGACGAAAATCATAGTTGAAGAATCTCCATGAAAAGTATAATAAAAAAAAAATTGACTTATTTCGAGTATTATTTTACAGAAATAATATTGTCAATATAATATACAATACTCAAAATGGGTAGTAACTCGAAAAAGAATAACACTAATAATTAATAGTTCAATATATTCTTTTACATTTTTTCTGTTTAACATATTTCGGATTTTTTTAGTAATAACTCAAACAAAAATTTTATTAATAGGTTTTTAATTTTATATATATTTCAAAATTGCATAATTATTTTTGTAATCATAAGAACAAATAGCAGATTTGTCGCGCTTACAGTTACTAAAATATACGGTCTAAATCAGAGGTTCCCAAACTGTGGATCGCGTTATATTTTTTATGTGTTTCTATTACTTTTGGTTGATTTTTAATTATTTAGTTAGTTTTTTCATAAACTTTTATCTGCGTTTGTGACAGTTACAAATTAACTGCGACCAATAGACATAATAATATTTCTTTATATGTCTATACCCGACTGTGTCAACACGACGCAATCAGATTAATGATTAATGAAAATATAGCAATATATTTGAAACAAATTAGTACATGTATGACATTCAAATAAATTGATTATTTTCAGTAATACACGGTACATTGAATACAGTACATGCACGCAGTTTAAATCTTACTATTTTCAAATAACTAATAAATTCGTTTTTCTTTTTGTGCTTTTGTACAGTTACTATGGACAAATGGTTAAATAAAAAGTCAAAGACTCGAAGTTCTGCGAAAACTGAAGAAACAGAGATAATATCTGTGTCAATGGTAAAAAAAGAAAATAAATTTATGATGAGCTTATCAAGTTCTTTTCAATCAAAATAAAAAAGTGGATATCAATGCAGTTATAAAAAATAGGAAACAATTACATCCCTACTTTACTAAAATTATATAGTATACATTTTTTTTTATAAATATAATACTTTTCTTCAATTTAAAATGATGAAAATAGCAAAAAAAAAAAAAAAGTCATTGATATTATTATGGGTTGTCAAAATTGAAATAATTTCCAAAATGAGTCCTACTATAAGAAGTTTGGGAATCTCTGGTCTAAATATTAAAATATAATGATCATCCAGTTGTTTTTGAATTTTAGTTGGTATCTTGAAATTAATTGATACAATTTAACTCACAAAAGCATTAAATAGGGTATTCATATGTTTGATGCTACTTAAAACTAGGAACGTGAATATTCTAGTATAGTTCTAGTTCAAAATAACTTACATTTGTATAGAGAATATCACTTTATAACAAAATGTTGTATTTTATTGTTAAATTGGCTACGAGTAATTTTTTTTTGGTTTCATTGTTATAATAAAAGCTTACCTGAAATTAGTTTCTGTATTTTTTTATTTCCATACATCCTTTTAAAATGTTCTATACTAACTGATTTCATTATCTTAATGAACTTAGGTTTGATCCATTCAGGCAATTGGAACCCGTTAGATATCTTTAACAAAAAGAGTAAACTGCATTAACGAATGATGATGTTTCTACAGATTTATTTAATATCTAATCTAACTTACCCTGGAAGCAATTATATCGTATATAATATGAATCTGTTCAACGTTTATGGGTTTTTTAAGTTTTTTAGTTAAGTACGACAATAATTCCTCAATTTGTTTTTTATTTTTATTGGTGATAATATTATCATAATCTTTTTTTACGAAATAATTTGTATACGGACATTTATGGGTACGAAATATCTGTAAAAAAATGTTTGTCATTAAAAATAAATTAAGAACTTTTACCAAAACACAAACCTATAGTAGATTGAATTATAAGTCATTTTTGACTGAAGAAATATTTAATTCTGTTTTTTTAAATATGTCTTAATTTATTTAATTTTTTTTAATAAGACCAAGAAAACAATTTTCATGAAATAAGTATAAGTGACTATTTGAAACCATATAATGACGAATAACTATTTTTATAATTATATGAAGTGTAGGATATCATGGTTATTTTAAATATATAAAATGTTATTCTTATTAGAATAATAACTTTAAAATGGTTGTTACTTAATACGATATTGATATTTAAGTAATTAAAAAAAAAACAATTAAGTATTTATTTATAAGCAGTCAATTTTCCTTACTTTTTGAATTTTTAAATTCCTTTAGATAAATGTAAGTTAATATTAATATTAAACGTTAGTTAGCTCTCATTTTTATTAATTTGAAAATGTGAAAAGTTTTGTAAAAAAAGAGTGACTAATAAAGTTGTTCTTATTTTTTTTTTTACTTGAACAATATTGTAATATTTATATTAAATTATATTACATTCGTTATTTTGATTGTTATTTACTTCTACAGATGATCAATAAAAAAATAAAATACAACAATTTATAAGGAAAACTGTATTTTTATTTCTAATTACTAGAATTTTAAAAAAATAACTTAACTTATTTATAAAAGAAATTAAGTAATTAGTAATTAGATTGCATGGGGAAAAAATGAACTCTTGATTCTTTTACTTAGAAACTGCGTTTTAAGAACAAATACTTAACTCTTTGTTCAAATCACGAAGTTTTTTTTAATTATTAATTTATTAATGTCTAGTTTTGTATCTATATGTACAGCATATATTTAATTTTTTGTCTTAGGAACTTAAATATATGTAATTTTGTATAATGTTTAATATAAATATATTTCGTATAAGCAATATGCATACTGCAGTTCGATCTGGCGAGTCATTGGAAATCGGTATAGGCTGCCACACTGTTTCCGAGTCGGACCACTCTTGATAATATTTTGGCGGGTACATACCAGCCAAAACCATTGCTGCTGACACGTAAGTTCGACTAATGATGGTACATTTTATTAAAATCTCATGTTCCAGGTACACATCATCTATGAATCTATTGTATAAACGTCGAAGCACTTTTCCTTTATGGTACATATGCTGTTTTCCGAGCTAATGGTAAACAATATGTATGACGAAATTACAGCACATATCAATAATCATAGTTTTTATAGTGTAATAATATATATTGATGTAAATTAAATAGCATATCTCACGCAGAAAATATTTTAATAATACTAATAATTTCATAGTTCATTAATTAAATTATGTTAATCTAAATAAATATTATTTACAACAAAATTTTATTTTTACGTTCATACCTTTGTTAAGTGCCCTTTCCCTTCAGGAAAATCATTCTTATAGATGTTAGGATAGTTTGTAAAATCGTAAACTGGAGTTCTTTCTCCATGGCGGAATAGCTGTGAACATTATTAATACAATTATTTATAATAAGTAGTATATTTTCTAGTTCTAATGCCGAAATACGATAAAATACCATGTAATTTTTTTGTTCTTAAGGACACCCACAAATAAAAAAAATTAGTAGGATGGACATTCTTTTAAGGAAAATGTTTGATATTTTATTGATAATTAGTTTTTATTACGATACTCTAAATCTAGAAAAATATATGAATTTATTAATTTCAAAGAATTTCAAAAGTTGAATACTTTAACTACAATTTAAAAAAATTAATTCTCGATACATTAATTTTAGTTTAAGTTTGCAAATAAAAATAAACCAAAAATATTATATCATATTATTTATTGAGGTACATTGAATTGGTGGATTACAATTAATAAATACTCTCAGAACTTATGTAATATAAAGTAATCTATCATTTATATACTGTAGGTATCTAAAATTTAGATTGAGGATTGTTATATATATATAACAATCTTTTTTAGCACCCCTATACTTAGTTATAATTATACTAGCTTAAAATTTCAAATACATTGATTATATAGCCATCATGACTGTGTGCTAATCAGCAGGGTCGCATTTAGGAGGGAGGGCAGTGGCTACAACTGCCCAGGGCGCTAGTTTTTTGGGGGCGCCAAGATTTTGTGGTCGGAAATTTGAATTATTAATTATTAATTATTAATTAATTATATATTATAATATATATAATTATTTATTAATTATTATTTTTTTTGTTTTTAATAATAGTATCATAAATAAATGTTAATGTGTTTAATTTATTAATATATATATATATATTATTAATTTATTTATAGCAATATAGCTATCAGCGATCCAGAATATTATTAATATACCTAATATTATTTCCCAAATTTGTTGTGATAATGTCAATAAACATAAGTATTTATTATAGGTAATACGGCGTATTATATAATCGCGTGCGGCTTGCGGTGGCATGCTTACTACACAAAAATAGCATTGATTTTAGAATATCTAAAAGGTTAATGAGGATCTATCTTCTATATTTTCCGTGGGTAGGCCCTTTAGAGGGGCGCCAATTTTATTTTTGCCCCGGGGTGCAAAATGTCTAAATACGGCACTGCTAATCAGTGAGTGAAATAATGGGTAGTATTTGAATTTTGGGCGATTGTAAACTCCGCCAGAATATCGGTTAAGATAAAATGGTAATAAAAACTCTTATGTAAGCTCCACCAGTATTTTTGTGTACTGCCTGTAAATCCTTTCATAATTATTTAGGAAATTAATTTCATAAAAATCAACCGAATTTTCATATTTTCATTTAAGTTATTACCAAATTTTAAACCCATACTTATATAAGAGTAAATGGCATATCTCAAGTAAATAAGCTAAAAATTTAGAAAAAAAAAATGACAGTGTTAAAAAATGCTATTAATAGGTACACTTATGGAGTAAAACAAAACTTAGAATATTTACAAATTATATCACATAACTTTAGTTTACATACATGATATAACTATATATTTTTGGATTATAAGGTAGAACCATTATTATACCTGATTTTTTTAGTGACGGAGTTTACATGAACCCAATTTTACTTTTTTTTTTTCTGGAGAAATTTTACAGTATAAAAAGTAAAAAGGTACTTGTGGCGGAGTTTACATGTGCCCTTGAATTTCGTATAATAATAGTAACAAACCAAAAATCAAAGAGTCATCAAACTGGTAGAGGTCAAGTGAGTACGAGAAACTTAGACGATAGTGGTTCAAGGGTATTGATTAGGAAACGCTGCTCGAAGCAATTATAAAGCAATATTCTTATGGGGTGTGTCTTAACTGAAATGGTAGATTCCAAGTCGAAAACATTTATATTTAGTGATATTTGTATCAATTAAAATAAATACAATTCTTGTCCGATTCATAAAAATTGTACTTCGTTTTTTATATACTACATTAACGGGATTGTCTACTCATATTATTTCTGAAATATCATTTTTCTCAGTAAAAATTGGGTCGGAAGAACTATATTTTACTAGAATTTGTACTTCGTCTTCAATAGCATTAATTTTCCTCTTGATACTGTTTATGATTTTTAGATAAAGTTGAAATTGAAACATTGATATTATTAGGGACATCAGACGTGAATAGAATGAATAAATTATATTGTACGTAGAGATACTTCATGGATTTCATTTGGTAATATAGTTAATTGAATTCGGCGTCATATGCAAAAAAAAAAAAACAACAAAAATTGAACTCGGAGACTCAAAATGTTGGAATTTGAGCTTGCTCTAGTTTCCGAGGGGTTCCAAAAACGTTAAGCATAAATTCTGTTGATACTGTTAAGAATTTTAAAAAAATGCCAAATTTGTAGATAAATAAAATAACGCCTTATAATAAATAGTAAATAATTTAAAATGTTCTGATTAAGGTTTTGAAAAAGTTTTCAGTTTTATACATAAACATGTGTTTAAAAATATTCTACGTCTATTTTAGCCACTTCTCATCTTAATTATTATTATTAGCACCGATGACATTTTCTCCTTCATCTTTTTCATATTCTTTTTTATCGTATTCAATTAAGTGCGCATTGATCATGACTATCGTTAGTATAATAATTACATCATTACACGTTAGATGACAATAACTAGTGGATAAACTTGCGAACGGTCAAATACCAGACTTAGATTCAATCTAAACACAATTTGTTTAACATTTTATTTCGTTGCATTTTTTAAATACCAGAACCCATTGTGTATTGATGGCACCTCCGACTATTAGCCGGACTGATCTGGAACGTCAGGTTACAACTGAACCACAATGAGTGACGATGTTACGCAGACAAAAATTAAATGTGGCACGTCGTGTTTGTCTATCAAAATTATAAGCCAGCGGTTGGCAACTGGCTAACCGCAGTATGCTGATAATTGGACCGTCAACACGTCTGTCACTTAAATACATTAATTGCATTTTTTTAAATAATATTTATAATGATTAAAAAAAAAAACAAGCAATATTTTGTTTGAATTTAGTGCGATAATCTACTGGAATTTCAGTCGTCTCGTAAAAAAACATCTTATTTTTTTCTCCTGACTCCAATAGAAAAATTACTCGCCGTCTTCTGCCACCAGTAATCGTAGTTAACGGAACATGCCCAGGCCCGACAATAGGGGGGGGGGGGCAGCCGAGGCTGTAGCCCAGGGGCCCGGGCTTCAAAAAAGGTCCGAGGCTTGACCAAGTTCACTACGTCTCTGTCATGGTGTTGAGTTATTTATTGATCACCAACATGAATCGTGCTAATAACTTACCAAAATAATTAAAGCGTATGCTGTATAGTTGTAACGAGTCTACAATAAAGTGAACACTACAAGATTGATTTATAACGTAGACAAATAATATTTTCAAGAAAGACCCATAGACTATAAATAATTATTTTCGTTTAGCCTGCGGGATAACCATGACTGCGATTAAATTATCTTTTTGGTATACACATTTTAAATGAAGACACTGGATGCCAGTGGAAAGTTTAATACCTCGCGCGAGAAGTGCTTGGATTAATTTGCCCCTGGGGCCCTTTATTTCTTTCCGTGGCCCTGAACACGTCACATGGTCACCACGTGATATAACATTGTACTCGTGACTTGAAACGATCGTACGTTTTACAATATAAGAAAGACATTTATGATGATGGGGGGGGGGGGAGAGGATTATAAAATTTTCAATACCACTTCGCATGCGACCACGTCACATGCGCGTATACGTACCACGGTGACGGACTTGAGCGAACGGTGCGCGAATTCCCCGGGTATGGCGTCCTCGTCGTCGATCTGCACCTCTTCGAACAGCGTGTACGTGTACAGGACTCCGAGGACGACGGCCGCGGTCAAGCAGACGATCAGAGCGGCTCTCTTGCAGTCCAGTGACGGGCCGCGTGCCGGGACCATGGCGAAAATCACTCGCGACGACGACGACGACGACGATGTCCGAACCGCGCGAGCTCCTTCACTCGCGCCTGTGCGATTCGGTCCGCGCCACGTGTTCACATCATCTCGCGCGCGCCTCGGCAAAACGATCGTGTTCGGCGTGTCGCGTTCAACCTTCTCCACCAGCTCGAACGTCCGATTCGATTGCCGTCCGTTCGTCCCGTTTATCCTGTTGTCCACCAACCGGAACGTGTCACGCGATCGACCGTCGGACGAATGCGCGCAAGAACGTGCGCGGACTCCGTTGATCGCGTTCGGTCTCGGTGTTGACCCGTTGATCCGCGGCCCGTCGGTCCGGTGCACGTGCACGCTGATCGTCCGGTTGACGTAATCGCCACGTATTAACAGCGATTATGAAAATTATGTTCATTATAATAATGGATCGTCGCCATCACCGACGAACGGTTTTGATACGAATTTCAATAATCGTTTTCGAACGTAATCGTTATTTATTTATTTATTTTGTACGACCCAGAACGTGTAACGGTGCAACGCACGAACACGGATGGAAATAGGAACAGCGAGGAACAGGAATTGGCCGGGCCGCCGTATCGAAAAACAATACTTGTCGCGCAAACCGAAGTCTAAACGTCTCTCCGTTGCGTCCATTGGTACACGGTTACGATTACATGTAGTTGCACGTATTTGTTAAACCATTATCAATGTGTGCAATAATATAATGTGTGTTTCTCGTTTGTCGGAATAGGAGTGTTTAATGAATGTTCGCATCAGGGTCGGATCTAGGGGGGGAGCTAACCGGGAGGGCACTTGCCCCAGAAGTCTTGTTCGGGAGGCACCAAATTACCAAATATCAAGTGGACATATCAATAGTTTTTATTCATTATATAATGAGTATTATGATACAAATTAAAATTTTCATTCCACTCGGGTTATGAACACATCGTTTCCATATGAATGATTTGTTATCAGCAGGGCTCGTAAGTTTATACATTTGCATATCAATCTCGCAAGGTCGTATTTAATGCTAGATGACATAGAAATCCATTTCAAGGTACCACGGTTAAATATGTGAAATATTATTTTGCGTGTTTTTGTATGTTTGGCATGTTTTTGTATATTTGGCATATTTATGCGTATTTCTATTTTATCGGGCATATTATACAACATTCTATTAGAATCTATCAAAAATCTAAATGGTAAATATATATAAAATTAAAAATAGAAATTGTATTATCTTTTATTTTCTTATCTTCTTGATACTCGTACATTTAATGAATAAATTTGTTTCAAAAGTTTCAGATTTAAAATTAATTACTGACAAAGACGTACATTATACGCAGTTCATGAAGGCTCAAGAATAGTATTAAATAGTATTTAAAATTTATTTTTTTTAATTGTAACATAAAAAAATAAAAAATATAGCTTTAAAAAAAAAAAAAAATGAATGGATAATTCATGTTATTTCAAAAATTATTTATGATTTTTTTAAGTAAGCATTGTTTAAGTGCATAATTTTAGATATTTAGTGTACATAAATGCATATTTTTTAACTTTTTAAGGTATATTTCAAAGCATATTTCGCTAATTTTAAGTGCATAAATGCATGATTAATTAGGCATTTTTTAGGGTATAAACTTACGAGCCCTGGTTATCAATAATAAACACTTTTTTTGTTACTATTTACCGGAGTACATTGTATTGCTAATACTTACAAACTAAAATCTACGATGATGAATGCTGCATGAAAAATAATTAAATACTTATAATTGAATTTGTATAGGTACGAAATTGAAAGTTTCAAATAACATATTTTTGCGTTAGAGGACTCACAAATATACGGAAATTATTTTTAAATCCTAAATTCTGTTTATAAAAATAATCTACATTGTCCTAATATTTCAATAGCACATAAAATATTTTTAACTTTATCTGTGACTGCAACATTTTACAAACAAAGTTTTAGCAACTTAAAATTAATCAAATCCTGTCTTGGATCATTAACCAATCAAGACTGACTCAACAACATATCGCCATACATTTATAATATAACGATTCTATGTATAATTTTGCAACTAAAAAATGTTTAGTAAAAATTCAAAATGTAATGCTAATTTGTTATATGTGCTAAACTTAATTAAAATACTTATAGTCAGGGCCGGTGTTAGGGGGAGGCATAACGAGACATTTGTCCAGGGCCTCGTGTCTTCAAAGGCCTCGCGCTTAAAATTTTCGTTGAAAAACATTTTGTATGGAAATCTCATAATATAAAACGAGAAATGCGTGGATCACCTGGCGAGTGCAATTTATTTAGAAATCTGTTGGCGTGTAATAAAAAAAAAAAATGAACAAAACAACAATATTATATTTAATACGTCATATATGTACCAACAACAATCTGTATGACACATCACATGGTATGGAAACCGGGATACCTAGAAAATGTATCTTATTTCTTAAATTTAGTAAGTCATTACTCGATATCATGTGCAGCTGTCATTGAGTCTGATTATATATTATCCCCTTTAATTACGGCCTAAAGGCTATAGGTGATTAATGTTATTAGTAAGTTTTTTTCTTTTTATTCCACTATTGTTTTCGTAGTAAAGAGTTAGATATTATTGTATATTTTAATTATTCAATTTAAATATTATGGATATTTTATTTGAAATAATTTGTTATCATTTTTTTTTTAATATTACACACTAAATGTATAAAATTCGAGAAAAAATGAAAAGTGGTTCATGATTCCCATTGGAAATATGATTCAGGTGAAGAAAAAAAAATTTAGTCTTAAAAAAAAACATAAAATATATTGAATTAAAATTTGGATTTTATAACATTAAACGGATAAGATTATTTAATATATAGTTATTTTTTATAAATTTTTGACGTGATTTATAAAACGTTGTATCTTATGCTTTACTTTTATAATTTTACTTAAAAGTTTTAATATATTTTTTGTTAATAAAATTTATATGATTTTTATACTATTAAACATTTAATGAATGAAATTAAAGAATAAAATAGGAGACCCCTGCATAAAACGTGATTTGGGTGAAAAAAAAAAAAAAATCCAATTTCTATAAAGAAACATAATGTTTTAGCTGGGAGGATAAGATTATGTTATGTGCTTCCCGAACACTAACTACTTCATTCACTGCGCCATTCATCCTCCCACCAACCGACTAACTGTGTATGTGTCGTGTGTAGTAGTGTATATTGTTCAACTAGGGGTGGTTGAGTTCACCGCGCAAATACTAGTGAGCTATGTAGTGGTAAGGTATTTAACAGTGTGTATATATGTGATTGTGTGTATTGTATGTACTTTAAATTTTGAAGAAAAATAGAAATAAAATAATGTATAAAGTGTAAAAATTGTATCTCTTTCACTATCTTTATGAATGAAGCTAGACATTGAACCTGAAATGCAAAAGACAATCGCTACCAATACTCATAAAGAATTAGCTATAAGAAAAGCGAAAGTGATTTACCGAGTCAACTCGTAAACAACTTACGACGCACAACTTAACGATTTATCAGAACTAGCAAAACATATTTTCAAATATAATCCTAACCTACAAATTGGATACACACAATTTAAAGTTATCCTAGAAAATGCACTAAAAAGCAGCGATAAATAAGACCTATATGATTACTACGAAATTGAGTTGAGCAACCTCATTTAAATAATCGAGTTAGTATATCTGACTATCAACAACAAAGCAATTAAAAATCGTCTAACTCGATTAACCAATGCACTATTCGAATTGGAAACATCCAATTACAACAATAATGATAATTATACAATCAACAGTTAAATTATTCAACATAAAAACGCACACACAGTAGATTTTATAATAATCATGACACATAACATAAATTTATTATAATGAAATCGAAACAGATTCTATAAAAAATACAGCGAATCACAACTCATCGTCCAAAAACACAAAAACCGAATATAATTAGCATTTAAAAAACAAAACAAGTCAATTTGCAACATCCTAACATATACCGGTTACCACAAAAATCGAACAAATTTTTATCGTTTCAGCGGTGACGTTGCAATTTATATCTCCGATAAGTTCTATATTGCACAAATCAATTTAATCACAAATTTAGAGGCTATTTCAGAAACAGTACCCGGAAAAGAAATAATCACAATTTGCAAAGTATATTTACCAAACCAAACCAAACATATTTGAATGATAATAACTTATTACAGATAATTAATCAACTACCTTCACCATACATAATTACCGGTAACTTTACGAGCTATGAGGCTCATCAATAACAGATATACGTGGAAAAACAGAAAAAATACTAAATGTTGACAATATATCACAATTAATGTTTGTACATTTTATTTTTAGATTTGTATTTAACACATTTTTTCTAATCGAGTATACTTTTCTTTTCCAATTTTTCTAATCTATTTTCTCTATTCTAACCTAACTGATTTGATTGACTTAGTTCCCGCCACCACAATAATTAAATATTACTTCAACGGCAGTGAAATAATTGTCTGATACCGTACCTACCGTCAATTTCACTGCATGTCACATAAGCGGCCTATCCACCTGATTCAGAGTATCTGAAAGTGTCTGGGTGATTCATATCATGTTAGGTTTTCTATACGACCAAAAGTACAGATGAACATTGGTAGTTGCCTACCCGTTACAATTTTCTCATGTCCAGCAGATGCTTGGCCCGGTGCTCTTTCAACATTACAAATACTTAATAACGATTTGTGAAACACAATACCATTCACATACCTTCTAAATATTTGTATTTTCCGGAATTATTAGCAACGTAAAAAATAATAATAGATGATTATGGACAGATCAGTAAACATCAACACATAGCATAAAACTCAAGTTCGATCAATAAATTCAAATAATTCAAATGCAATCAATTCGTTAAATAAGCAAGCACAAAGCAAACAAGAATTATGAGAAGCATAGTCAACTATACTTTTACTTTTTGTTGCCTGTGTGTCACTTTTAATAGGAAGCAAATACTTGCGTTCACTTTTTTGTGTCTTCAAGACTTTGGATTGAATCAGAAAAGGTTAGATATGACCTCCATAGTTCTCCATCTATCTCCTTTAATTATTTAATTATTTAGGGTTGCCAGATTTTGAAATTTCTAAATTGGGACATCATAGACTCTTTTTTTTTTTTTTTTTTGATATAACGTTCCTATGGAGACAAAACATATATATATATATATATTGTTTTTTAATTCAAATATTTACTAGCTAATACAAAATTACATTATTATTTTATATATCTATAATATAAAGAAATAATATACAATCAGTGGTGTAATGAAGGGTACACGGGAGTACACGATGTGTACCCTTATTTTTTCAGAATATGCGTGTAACCAATAAAAAAACCCAAGTCCGTGGGTTCACGGTTGTATAAATGCGTATAACCACTCTTTAGTTTCTTTAATTATTTTAAAGATATATTAATATTTGTCAATTTACAATTTTACACTGGTGTTTCATGTGAATTATATTGTATTATCTTCGTTAATCTTAATTATTCATGTATTAAGTATCACTTGAAAATTATTTTGCAATATTTTATAATTTATAGTTGCTATAAATAAAAATGAAAATGTAAATTGTAATGTGTGACATGGCTGTAACATTTTATCAAGCACAAAATTTAAACTAAATCATAATAAAGCAATGAGTAATATTACATTAAAAATAAATAATACTTTATAGTTCATAATTGATAATTGAGAAATTATATTTTTAAGAAATCTTAGGGGGGGGTAGGGGGGTCGAAGCTCCCCACATCATATTTTTACCGTGGAGATTTTATTTTTGACAGAATTTGGCGTATACCGATTTACATTATTAGTACTATATCGCTGTGTACAATATTGTTATATGTTTTGTTATTAAATAATACAATATTAAAGTTATTTGCTCTCAGTTTCTATTAACCGGGGCACACTGAATGGTCGGTCAGGACACCGGAACTTGACTTTAAAGTCGATACTGCATCGGTCTAACCAGGACGAATGGCAAACCTACTTAAATATAAAATTAAATTGAATACACATTTTGACCAATTTATAATTTGTATTGGTCGACGTATGGCATTTTAGGAGAGTAAAGTTTGATTTCAGAGAAATTTATTATGTGAACGCAGAGTCGAAAATTTTGTATTTACTACAGAAAAATTCACCCTAAAGAGATTAATTATTATAACACATAATGAGTATATTATACAAACAAATAATTAATTTCAACAAACATTAAGAAATTAATAATATTAGATTTCTAATTTTTCGCATTCTTTTTCCCATTCTGTAGAAAAATTTTCGTTTATAAGTTGAATGAAGTCCTCTAATTTACAAGGATTACCACAAATCGGAATCGGCATTTCTTCATATTTTTCATCGTCCCATTTATGATAGTAGAATACCTAAAAGAAAGACAATATATTCTTTAATTCTACTTTTTATTTACGTTTAGTTTATTGCATAGAATAATATAGTTCAGAGTCTGAATGAAACGAGGATTATTTTGGGATTACCATGATGTGTTTTTTTTTAAAATTTAAAATTTTAATTTGTATTTTGTGGCGTGTACACGGTGTCAATCAGAAGTACTATAATTATCACAACCATGAGAGGTTTTTGAAATTAAATCTTGACTTGTTTTTAATTTGAGGGGTCTTAATAACATTGTTTTCGATTAATGGTGTAATTTTGACTGGTCTTGACTGTTTTGTATGTGATAGATATTTATTATTATTATTTATTTTAAACTATTATTTTATTTTGTCAAAAACAGTTGAAAATGTAATACATTGCTTCTCATACATATATTTTACTGATAAACAAAAAAAGAGCTTAATTACAAAAAAAAAAAATTAAGTGTTTGAATATATTGTAATGTCTTTTAACGAAACAACAAAAATCATTACAATTTGCTAGGTACATTTTTGTATTAAAAAATAAATAAATATTTTAATTTTAAATTATTAGGCTTAAATTTGATAAAAAATTATTCATAAGATTTTCTTTATATCCATTACAAGGATATTTTACCCGAGAGTCGCAAAAAGATTTTATAAGAGATAGAAAATATATTTTACTTATGTCTGTTTGCACAATTTTGACTAAAATATTTGCTCTAATCATTATGATCAATGAAGGTAACTAATAGAAAATGTTTTCTAGATAGTACTTAAAATTTTACAATACATCCAGTAGTTTTTATAATAATTAAAAAAGACTGAAGAAAAGAAAAATTTACTATTTAGATCCACTCGATCTCATTAAGCCCGAACCATTTTTATCAAGAACAATAGTACATTGATTTTAAATTTAAAAAATCAATATAGTAATTACCAGTATGTTCACCTATAGTTTATGAGTAGTTTCACTCGATCTAGGAGTCTAACATGATCTAGGAGTTTCACTCTCTTGTTTTGTATAATTGTTTGAAAAAACTTTTAAAAAATATCGACAATTTTTTGCAATATTGAAAATCTTTTTACAAATGTCATACTAAATATTTTTTAATGACAATACCCTAATGATGATACCTTTATAATGTATTTCATTGTTTTGTCTTGATAGAGATGAAAATGAATTGAAGCACCGAATTCAGGTAATTTTATTCTATTATTGCCTAAAAAAAACATTATTGTTCCTAAACTCATATCATGACCTGCATAAAGATACATATTTCGTGTTGTGTTGTAGTTTGAGTTATTTGATCGTAATTCCATGTTTAAACTTATCTCTTTAAGCAAAGGTCCTGAAATAAAAATTGAAAATATTTCTCATTAATATATTATTAAAAAATTATACAAATCATATGAAATTGCCAACGGCAAACACACTAATAACATGTAGTTAAATATAAATTGTTTTAAAGCTATATTTTATTCTTTAACATGTAACATATGCCACATACTAATATGTGCAAATACTTCATCAATAGTTTATTATTGTTTATTTATTAACTATTTATTTTGATAAGATTATGAATTAAATAGCAAATTAGTCATGTTAACAAACAATAATTCATACAATTTAATTATAATATAACGATTTCCAGGTGCCTTTTTAATTA